TTAATTGGAGAACGGGGGAATTAAAGAGAGGGGGGGAGAAAAAAAGAAAAAAAAAAAGAAGAGAAAAAAGAAAGAAAAAAGAAAAAAAGGGGGTGGGGTGCAATGTTTTTCGGCATATAATATTACGTGGTAAATTAATTGCCTCTTTCGTGTTTGTATATATGATATTATATATTGTGTATGTGTATGTATGTAGCATGAGAGATAAGTCAAAGCACAGCCTTTCACCGCGCACGAAGATTATATCCATCGGACGGATGGAGCGGAGGAATGTCAGGATACCGTCCCATCTATCTTTTCTGTAATATAATCCGTAATACGGTCTACTGTCTACTGCAGTATCATCATCATCTACTAATCTGTACAGATTGGATGGATATCGTACATTGTCTGCAATGTAATCTGTACTCTCGTACGTGTGTTCTATTATATATCAATAATGCCATCATCCGTTCCCATGTCCGAGTCAAGACACCCTTCACTTCTTCTACTCGTACAGAGAGAGTCATCAGCATGTTACAGTACGCGAGTACAGATTACATGTACTCACCTCATACCATGATGATACCTGCGAACCGTTCATTCCGTTCATCGTAAGATGTAATGAGAACAAAAATTAGAATAAAGTACTGGGATAAAATAAAATAAAACCCCCCCCTGCTCCTGTTATCCCAACTTCTGACTCTGGGACGAACGGGGTAGAGAGAAAAAGAGACCGGCGCAAAAGTACGTCGTAGAAAATGACATTCAGAATATCGGGTCCCTCTCGTGGACCGGGCGTCTCCGAGATCATCTCTCAGGCATTACGAGTACGACAGACATCGTATGGTCGGTCATTGCAGACATTGTTATGATATTAGCAGCGGTAATTCCTACGCTCCTTTACAGATTATGATGCTCGTATTCATTAGACCGGGCACCAAGTTGAGCCCAGACATTGTCTTGTACGTGTGTATGTATATATATGTATGCATATATATATGTGTATGTATATATGTATGTATATATGTACGTATATATAGATGTATATGTATGTATGTATATACACGTACAAATATATATCTATGTATATATATATAAATATGTATATATACATATATGTGTCTATATATATATACATATATGTATCTATGTATATATATGTATATATATATATATACACACGACTCATCTGTAATCTGTAATCTGTACAGGTGAACCGCTCCAGTCACGACATACTCGTAATACCCGCGGGCTCCGTACCAATGCTCCTACATGCTCATTACAGATAATACAAGATCGATTTCATTCTCTTATATGTATTCCCATGTCACCACGACTCATCATCCATCATTTAACAGATGTCAATACCAACCATGTCTCCTCCAGTCCTCCCCCCCCCCCCCCCCCCAATCCTAAGCATATGCCAACGTCTCATCCTCGCCAATCACCCCAATAACACCGATATTAGCCTCTTCACCAGCAACAGCAGGACCGCGGACGTGAATCTATAGTGAGAAGAAAAGATAAAGATTAGCTTTCTTCCCGTCTCCTGTTTCTCCAAGAAGAAGAAAAGAAAAAGAAGAAAAAAAAAACAGTCGAGAGTATGACGAGTGGATGGAATGATTTGATAGAATGCACGTGTGTGCGCAGAACATACCTCTCCAGCCGCCCCTTCATCCGTAGTCTTGTACTCGCCGACATCGCGCAGGTAGATCTCGACACTAGGCAGCGGTGCACCGAAGTGGTCCTTCCCGACCCGGTAGTCGTACAGGGCCGTCTGGGCCACCGCACCGGCAACCTTGGCGGCGGATAGGGCATAGATGATCCTCGATCCCGTGAAGATCCTCAGGTCCGACAGGACCTCGGCCGAGATCCTCTCATCGCCGCCACGCCTGCTGCCGTCGTCCGCTCCGATAGGGGAGGAGGAGAGGGGGTGGAGGGAAGGAGATCCGTTGGCGCGCTCGGCGACGTACAGCAGCCGCAGCTTGCCGGGCGTGGTGCCGACCACGGGCCTCGTCGCCGACGACAGCGTAGACAGGACGTTGGCGGGGGAGAAGACGCCCTCGACGGCCAGCGTGCGCCTGGCCAGGGCGTGGGCCAGGCGCGCCGCGGGGGAGGCGGCGAGCCGGGCGGCCGACCGGGCGTGCGTGGCCAGCAGCGTGGCCGGGCTGGCCACCACCACGGTCGGCGCGACGCCCCGCGTCGCCACCTCCAGGTCCGCCGCGCGGTCGGCGACGGAGTTGAGCGCCACGGACGAGTGCGAGTACAGCGCCGCGAGCGTCAGGGTGAGCGTGTGCACGTGCGCGAGGGAGTCGGCCGGGAGGAACAGGTCCGACGCGTCGAAGCGGTCCTTGGCCGGGATGCCCGCCAGCTGGCCCGCCACGCCGGCCACGATGTTGGCCTGCGTGAAGCGCACCATGTCGCCGACGCCGCCGGTCGCGTTCCTCCAGAAGACGACGACGTCGCTGGCCGCCGCCGCACCGTCGGCACCGGTCCCCGGCAGGTCGCCGGCCGACGCCGACGTGTCCTGCACGATGTCCTGCCACGTCGCGACGTTGACGCTCCCCCCCGCCCCCTCCGGCACCTCGCTCCAGTCGAGGTGGCTGCTCGCCCCCTCGACCACCCACACCAGCTGCCGGAGGGACGGGTACGCCTCCACCACCCTGTCGAGCGGGAAGGCCCCCGAGGCCGTCACCACCGTGTCCGCCGCCGACCGGCGCAGCATCGACACGAGCTCCTCGTCCGACACGTCGTATGGCATCAGCACGCACGTCAGGTTCGGGAAGAAGCTGCACGCCAGCAGCGTCATCACCAGCTCCCACGAGTTGGGCAGGTACACCGCCACCCGGATGCCCCCCTGCTCCGCCATGTGCCTGCCCACCAGGCCGATCTGCCGCGTCAGCTCGTCGTAGCTGTGCTCGATGACGCTCTGCGACCCCAGCACCGTGAGCAGCTTCCCCGTCCCCTGGTTGGCCTGCCGCCCGCGCGCCCTCCAGATGTCGCGCACGTCGCCGTCACGCCCCCGCGACCACTTGGGCGCCCCGGCGTCCTTGATGTCCAGACCGGCCCGGAGGCCCGAGCCGTGCGGCACGATCTGCGACCGGTACACGGCGCTCTGGCCCTCGTGACGCACCGTCGACGCCGTCGACTGCCGCGCCAGGAGCATAGGGTGGATGTCCGGGTCCTGAGCTGACAGCACCCGGTACGACAGGATCAGAACCAGCACCGTCGCTAGCGCCGTAGAGTACACGCTCCACTGCCCCAGGAGATTGGTCAACCCGGCGTCGATGCTTTCAAATACCGTCATCGTGTTTTCTTCTTCTTTTCCCCTTCTTTCGTCGGATGAAGACGTTGACGAGTCTCTGTTCCTTCTCGGAGGGGCCGACGAGTCGTCCGTAGGTCGTAGGAGAAGATCCCCGATAAAGATCACCAACCAAATGTATAGAGGGGGAGAAAAAGAAAAAGAGGTGGGTAGGTGGTAAGAGGATCAAAGGTTCGGTTTAGAGACGGGAAGTGGCATTCCCAGATTTCGGGGCATCTGTATATTCCAAAAACAGATCAAATACACACAGAACCCGAAAGGTTCAGCTTTGTAGATACCTGACAAGACGGCTTGTGCTGCGCGCAGCCATGGATGGTCCCGAGAGAGGGGAAGTAATCATACGTAATACGTAGCTCAGCTCAAACATGCTACGTATGCATCTATCCGTCAACGTAGATAGGCAACCTCGTACTCCTCTTATAGAAGCATAACAGTCATCAATCAATCAATCCATCACAAATCATCAGCATCGTCATGATCATTTACATCACCATGGTGAGATCACAAAAAAACGGTAGTAAAAACTGTAATTTTTTTTTTTTTTGCCTGGAACTCCTTGGTCCGCTCTGGTCATCCTTGTCTATCTATCTGGCATCGACGAAACATCATCGTCAACGCCCCACACGCGCCCGGTTTTTTTCCTTGCCTGTTCTTTTTTTTTTGTCTTCTTGAAAAACTAAAGACGCCCTTGTAAACTCCGGCCGGCTTTCTCTTCTTTTGTGATCAACAAACTGACCAAACTCGAGAGAAGGAATATCCGAGCCTTGCTGTTTCCCTTTGTTTTCTCCTTCTTTCTGGCCATTTCCCAGAAGAGTGAAGAAAAAAAAAAGAATAGAAAGAAGAGAGAGAAAAAACGCCTCGGCCAGTTCTCGGCCGCCCAGTCCGAAAATACATAACCCTCTGTTGGGCAGCCGTCGATCGTGCTTCGTGACATGAAAAAAAAAAGGTAAGAAAAAGAAAAAAAAAAAGTGCAAAATAACAAGAAAAGAGAGAAAAAAAAGAACCTCTGGACCACAATCGTGTCCTTTGTCCATGCTCATAAGTCCCTGCACTCATGTCCCGAGACTTGCGGAGCACTTCCATGTCTCTCTTTTTTCTTCTCGACCAGAGAACCGTTTGAGTAATCCACTTTTGTCTATGTCCACACGGCGAAACGTCATGACCATCCCTTTCGTGACGGCAAAAAATAAAGCCCTCCCGGGGGAGCTCCTAGCAGACGGCAGAAACATATGCGTGTTGATGAATCAACGGGGATCTCTCTTCTCATCCCCGTCCAGATCCAGGCTGTTTTTCTGGATCCACACATGCCACGTTCCCGATACCGTCCTGCCTCCCGAGCCTCCCCAAGCTCAGTCTAAGGGTATCAATCGAGGATATCGAAATCAAAGGAAAACGCAATCTATCAGATGCTTCGTGAAATTCTCGTAACCGATGCTGCTTTTCGCCAGCTGTAGAAAAGGCACTGATAAATATCGCCTTCGAAGATCATGCTCGTGTCGCCGTGTCGTGATGAAAACGAAACAGATAAAATGAAATGAAAAAAATGAAAAAGTAGCAAGGAAAAAAAGTATGAAACATGATGCGTTATAGCAACGGGGGTCGAGATCAGCGCTCAGGTGAACGGTGATAGAGTGGGTGGAAAGACTCGGCAAGAAAGTCAGAGTCTTTGCCGGGATGCCGCGACAGGATATTCCCGCTATGCACCGGCATCAAGAGTGCATAGTCGTGGCTTCGGCTAGCCGTGCCTGGGTTGTCTACCACCAAGACTGGCCACCGGAGCCGCCGGGGTTGCCGTAACCGCCGCCGCCGAAACCACCACCGCCGCCGCCGCCGCCGTAGCCGGATCCTCCCTGGGGACCGCCAAAGCCGCCGCCGCCACCGTAGCTGGGAGCAGGGGGGCCACCGTAGTTGTTGCCGCCGCCGCCGCCGCCGCCGCCGCCGTTGAAGCCCCCACCTCCGTACTTGCGGAAGTCACGACTGGCACCGGAACCACGGCCGCCGCCGCCGCGAGAGCGGCCGCCACGACCGCCACCGCCGCCAAATGACGACTCGCGGGCAACGGTGTCGAGGAATGAGGGTATCTCCTGGTTGGCCTCCTTGAGAAGCTCGAGAAGCTCCCTGACGACACCGCGGTTGCCACGGTTGAAGAAAGCAGTGGCGATACCAGTGTTTCCAGCACGACCGGTACGACCGATGCGGTGGACGTAGTCGTCAATGTCAGTGGGGAGGTCGTAGTTGACGACGTGCGTGACGTTGGGGATATCGAGACCACGGGCAGCAACAGCGGTGGCGACGAGGATAGGGCATCGTCCGTTACGGAAGTACTCGAGGGCACGCTCACGCTCACGCTGGGTGCGGTCACCGTGGATAGAGGTGGCCGGGATGTTCTGGTTGATGAGGAAGTCGGACAGAGAGTCGGCCATGCGCTTCGTCTCGACGAAGATCAGGGTGAGGCCGGCACCGTGGGTGTGCAGGATGTCGAGAAGAACAGAGCGCTTGTCAACGTCCTCGACGTACTCGACACGCTGAGTAATGTTCTCCGAGGTCGAGCCGACACGTCCAACCGAGAGGAAGATGTAGTCCTTGAGGAAGTCCCTGGCGAGCATCTGGATGTCGCGGGGGAAGGTGGCCGAGAACATGAGAGTCTGGCGGTCGGCAACGGAGGGCATGTCCTCACCCTCGACGATGCGGCGAATTTGGGGCTCGAAACCCATGTCGAGCATGCGGTCGGCCTCGTCGAGAACAAGGTACTTGATGTTGCAGAGCGAGATACGGCCACGCTCAAGAAGGTCGACGAGACGGCCGGGGGTGGCGACGAGCAGGTCGCAGCCACGCTCAATCTGGCGGAGCTGGGAGCCAATGTCGGCACCACCATAGACGACGCAGGGGCGGACCCAAGAGCGGTAGGCAAACTTGCGCGACTCCTCATAGATCTGAGACACCAGCTCACGGGTGGGAGCCAGGATCAGGGAGGTGGGGAAAGCCTTGCGCTGGCGACCGAAGCTGCCCTCGGCATTGGGGGGGAGGGTAGAGGGGCCGTTGGTGAAGGCCTGGGAGAGGATGGGGAAGAGGAAACCACCCGTCTTTCCGGAACCAGTCTGGGCGCAGGCCATCAGATCACGGCCACCAGTAACGATGGGAATCGAGTGCTTCTGAACAGGCGTGGGGACCTTGTAGTGGGCCATCTCAATGTTGCGGATGAGGTGCTCGTCCAGAGGAGGGCTGGTGAACTGGTTGACGGGTCCAGGGACGTCACGGCCAGAGGCCTCGACAGGGATGTCGTCATACTTCTCAAAGTTGATACCAGTCTGCTGCTTGGTAGGGTCGTCGACAACACCGAAGAGCTCACGCTCGACACGGGGGTTGGCAGGACCGGGGATATGCTTGCCGTCACGCCACTGGCCATCGCCGTGGCCGCGGTTAGCATGGCCGCCGCCGCCGCCGCCGTGACCGCCCTCGCCGCCGCCGTAGTTGCCACCGTAGCCGCCACGGCCACCGCCGCTCCAACCACCACGGCGGTTGTTTTGGTAGCCACCACCCTGCTGGCCGCCGAAGTTCTGATTGTTGCTATCGGGGAGCGTCAGCATTCCGATCCAGGTGCAAGCCTGCATGAGAGAGGATCGAGGGGGTTTCATAGAGACTTACTTGTTGGCCCAGTTGCTGTTGCCCAGACCGTTGGGACCGGGAGCACCAGCGGGGGCACCAGCGGGGGCACCAGCGGGGGCACCAGCCGGAGCACCGTTGGCAGCGGGAGCGGGAGCAGGAGCAGGAGCAGGAGCCGCAGCAGGAGCACCCTGACGCTTACGCATGTGGGGAGGAATGTAGGAGCGACCGCCCGGGGCACCACCCTGCTGCTGCTGCTGCTGCTGCTGCTGCTGGCCGTCGGGGCCAAGGTTGAGGCCACCCATGTTGAGCTGATCCGCCATGTTGAGTTTCGAAAAAGAGGCGAAAGAAAAGTACTCGTGTGTAGGTTCTTGTCTATCGGTAGACAGTCGTGTGAATCACTCTCTGTTGATGATCAAGGAGAGTGGAAGAGATGGGGTAGTGAAGAAGAAGACGACGTCGTGATTTCTTCTCAGTGTGTATGTGAGATTAAGGGTCCAGAACAAGACCTTGCAAATTTCCGTCGAAGAACAAACGAACTCTTCAAAGGAAAGGCACAAGACAAGGAAAAAGACGAGAAAAGAAAAAAAAGAATGCCGGGTGAGGGCAGACGAAAGAGGGAAGGGGTTGTGAATTTTTTTTTGGGGGGGGATGTTGATGAGGGAGGAGGGGGTGATGAAGGAAGTGGTGAAGAAGAAGAAAAGAGACGAAGGGAGAGAGAGACTGGGGGAAGCAAGAAAAAAGGGTTGTCACGCCCGTACCAGCGCAGAGTGAGAAAAAAAAAGTTGTGCCAGTAAAAGGCTAGTGGCGCAAGTTGGCAGGGTCAGCGGTGAGAATTTTTGGGGGCAAGTTGGTGGCCAGCAGCTATTAGCTGGCAGGCAGGAGCCACACGAACAGTGACAGTCAAGGTGTGCATCAAAAGTCACTCTACACCTCAACTCTGGCGGATGGGTACTTGTCATGTACAAGCACGGGCTGGCCTATACTAGCAGTGCTCTATTACCCATCACAGCTAACCCCTACAGTCCTGATACATGCGTTGGATACGCCTGAAAGGGAGGGCGGCGCCGAGGGGCATTGAGATACTCAGTACTCCGACTACAAAATGCCCTGCAATTCGTGCTGCAACACCCCCCTAGGTCCACTATGCCCGGCCCCCAGGGCTAGGTGACTAGTGACTACACGATGTGGTAAGTAATAGTAGGATTAGCAGTCGGATTCTTCACTGATCAGCCCGCTGAAAATCACCACCCCACGACTCATGGCGTCCAATCATGGTCACTGTAAAAAGTTTGTGGCTGCCCAAGTCGACACCTGACTAGAACCCTCCAGTTTCTACTGTATATGTACGGGTACAGGTAGACTGTAGTATGATATTGGTATCCGTACTGCATACTGATGGATGTCGTCTGATTTTTCTCATTCTTTCTTTTTCCATCCTCATTCACCGTTATTCCGTCCCTTCCTACTGTTTCTGTCGTGTCACTGCATGACATATTCCAACCTGTACATATATGTCACAAGGCCATTACCAAGCCGTCTGCCAGCCAGGACCCCTCCACCCAAGTCCCCTCCTCTCGCCACAGACCCCTAACTATACGAGCATGTAGGTCCCTCCCACCGCCACAGAACGTCGTTACCCTGCGTACCCCAGCACCAGATAATACAGCATCCCAGACACCGACAGCGGAGAGGATACGGAGATGAGAAAAGTGTGGGCTTTCAACTCCAATTCGAGAGAGAAACTCTTCGTATCTATACCTGCTCATACTCGTAGGCACATGAAAGACGGTGCTTGGCACTTGTTGTTATTACACTTCCTTCCATCATGTGCAATTTTTCCTCCGCATGAGATCCACCGTCATCATCCACCACCACACACCACCACCAAGTCTATTCAGCTCAACCAACCTGCTGTTCCATCTGCCATGAATGCGTGTCATGATATGAACAACATGGCCTGACACATGATCAAGTTTTAATATGTATATCTTTTGAAAAGGCCATAAAATCTTTTCCCATACATGTACGTGGTAACAATACTGCCATGCCATCTTTATACGTGAGCCGTATGTAGGTACGACCGTGGTGGCGTCTGTCCGTCATACGTCATGCTGGGTTTGGTGGGGGGGGGGGGGAGAGAACAGGGAGCAGTCTGCAATGTACATACGTACGATCCATAACCCTATTACGCAGCGGCAAACCTGGACAGGTGACTCTCTCCATCCAGTTGTGGCTAGTGCAACTGCCTATACGATATAGGCAGTGTAGAGAGCGCCCTGGGCGAGGCGGAAGGCCTCTCGGAGTTACATCACTGTCGTTTGTGTGCTGCCAAACTGTCTAGATGCCAAACATGACATATCTCCGCGCGGCCTGTCTACCCGCCTCGCGCAAACAACTAGACCTGTCTGCGGCATGACTCCCTGTCTCCGTGCTGATGACCTGTTCACGGAAGGAAAGGTCCGCTGCGCTGTGTGGCAAGCTGCGTGGGAAAGAGAAAAACAGGAGACTTGCCGATTTCGGCCCGTATACTGACAGCAGCCTAAGAGTACACCTTGTGCTTGATATATATTTTCCTTGTTTCTTTTTGTTTTGTTTGTCTGTCTTTAATTCATGAGCTTTGCACCTCTGCTGCCCGACCACTAGGCGCTCTTGACAATCTTGTCATTATCAAACTCCAGGTCGACAATCTCGACGCCCTCGTCCGTGGCCTTGATGGCCTTGACCAGCACACCCTTGAAGTCGATGGGTAACCTCCTCTTGAGTTCGTCAGTGCACATGGTCAGGAGCTCTAGGCCCTGCTCCAGGGTGATGTCCGGGTTGTGGTGCTTGTCGAGGATGGAGAGGCAGTAGTACCTGGTGGGAAGCAGCAACGTCAGCGGTCTGATCCGTAAGGCAGCAGAAGATTCAGGAAGAAGGAGAGAGGATAGAGAGATAAGCAGGTACGAGAAAAAAACAAAAACAAAAACAAAAGCATACTGTGCGTATCCGTGAGCTGCATAGGGGACATCGGCCAGGGCTGCGAGGTAGTCGAGCCAGTACAGCGAGGGCTTCTTGGTGATGGGGTCGACACCGCCCATGAGGAGGTTGACGTGGTAGGGCTTGCGGGAGCGGAGACTCGAGGCCAGCTCGCCGCGGACAAAGTGCGCCAGGGCAGAGGGGGAGAGGTCGGCCTCGTTGCGCATCGAGTAGAGCTGGGCGTTTCGTTGAATGTACTCGGCGAATTGGACTGTTCAGGTCAGGTCAGCGATGGGGCCACGCACACCACCACCAACGCAACGTGCGTCTGCTCACCTGTGTCTCCGGCCTCTCCAGAGAACGCCAGGAGGGTGCTCTTGTTGAGAGCCCTGGTCTTGTCGTCCGAGGCCTTGAGGATGGAAGCACCTCGCATGGCAGCCTTGGAAGCTGCGATGAGGGTGAAGTCCTTGCCCGTGATACCCAGAAGAGCCTCCCTGCGTTGTTTGTCAGCCCGTGAATCTTCCCTTCCCCCCGACGATGGTCATGATAGCCGGGGACAGGATCCTACATTTTGTCGTTGTTATCGAGTGCGAATTCTGACGGCGGTGGTGGGTGCTTTGTCGGCAGAGATGCTATCCGTCGTCGTTGGGAGGGAGGGGCGTGATGGTCTTCCGAGCTTTGGCTCCTCTGTCTGCGGGCGGAGCTTCGTTTCGCTAGGCTGTAGCGCTGCGCGTCACCGACAGAGGTACCACACCACTCAACTGGAGGCCTGGCCACCAGACGACCACCAGGCTGTAATAATCGATACCTGTCTCGTAGGCTGTACTAGGCTGTACCTACAGGCTACAGCACTCTGTAGTACCATTACCACGGAATAACCGATTTACCGAATTCCGCTCCAAACCCCAGAGCTTTAGAGGCATGTACCTCCAGAAAGTGGGGCATAACTTGGGGGACCCACACCAGACAGAGGAGGGTCCTTTTTTTTTTTTTTTTTTTTTTTTKAWARRRGGAAAGGGTAAAAAAAAAAAAAAAGTCCAAAGAGTTTATACTGGGAGAAAAACGTGACAGGTTCACGGACTCCGACAAACACCAACAACCGTCGTGATGTCTTCCTTCTTCACAGTCCCAGGAGCACAAAAGAAGAGGAAGAGGCTTTCCGGTCCCGATGCACCCAAGAAGAGGGTAGCACCGACCAACTCTTCGAGGTCGAAACTCGGCAAACCGTCATCATCACGAGGCGGTCCTCCCCTCAAGAAGAACAGCAGCAGCGGCACCAGCAGCAGCAAGAAAGCCGGTGGCAAAGCCGCCAAGGACGACGAAGATGACGAGTCGATCTCCGGCAGTGACTCGGACGACCTTGACGACGCTCGCCAACAAGATGGCTCGGACGACGACAACGGCGAATCGTCGTCGGAAGACGGACGAGTGACGGAGGGGCAGGACGAGGAGGAGACGGCGGCAGAGCGGAGACTACGTCTGGCGGAGCGGTACCTGGAGAACATAAAGGAGCACGTCGACGAGGCCGGGTTCGACGCAGCCGACATCGACCGCGACCTGATCGCCGAGCGGTTACAGGAGGACATGGCCGAGAGCAAGGGTCGGGTGTACCGACAGCTGGCGTCGTCGCTGGCCCTGGACCGGGCGTCGCGCACCTTCTTCCGCAGCAACTCGCGGGCCGTGACGTCGATATCGACCTGCGGCCCCTACGTGTACACGGCCTCCAAGGACATGTGCCTGCACAAGTGGCGTACGCAGGACCTGCCGCAGGACCAGTTCCCGCAGACGACGCGGCGGAAGCCCGCGGGGCCGGACGCCCCGGCGCGCCGCCGCCCGACGCTCGAGACCTGGGTCAAGGGCGACCGCGGCAAGGCCAGGGACCGCGGCTACAAGAGGCACGTGGGGCCCATCCTGGCCGTGGCGGCCTCCCCGGACGGGCAGTACGTCGTGACGGGCGGCGAGGACCGGCGGCTGATCGTGTGGGACGCCGCCACGCTGCGACCGCTCAAGGTGCTCTCGCAGCACCGCGACGCCGTCACCGGCCTGGCCTTCCGCCGCGGCACCAACCAGCTGTATTCGTGCTCCAGGGACCGCACCGTCAAGGTCTGGTCGCTCGACGAGATGGCCTACGTCGAGACCCTGTTCGGCCACCAGGACCACGTGGTCGACATCGACGCCTTGGCCCAGGAGCGCTGCGTCAGCGTCGGCGCCCGCGACCGCACCGCCCGCCTCTGGAAGGTCGCGGAGGAGACCCAGCTCGTCTTCCGCGGCGGCAGCACCACCGCCCCCAAGGCCAGCGCCCACCCGGCCGTCGCCGCCGTCGCGGACCCCCGCTCCCTCCTCGGCGAGGGCAGCATGGACCGCATCGCCATGATCGACGACGACCTCTTCGTCACCGGCGGCGACAACGGCTCCCTCGCCCTCTGGAGCGTCCAGAAGAAGAAGCCGGTCTACATCGAGCCCCTCGCCCACGGCCTCGACCCCGCCCTCCGCCCAGAGCAGGCCTCCGCCGACAAGAATCCCAAGCCCGACGTCGTCCCCGCGCCCACCCCCCGCTGGGTCACCGCCATCCGCGCCATCCCCTACTCCGACGTCTTCTTCACCGGCAGCTGGGACGGATACGTCCGCGTGTGGCGTCTCTCTGACGACAAGCGCAAGATCGAATCCCTCGGCGTCCTCTCTTCATCGAAGCATCATGACGCCAAAGACAAGGACAAGGACGGCGACGACGACGACGACGACGAGAAGAAGAAGAAGAAGAAGAAGAGGAAGGATAAGGGGGAGGAGGAGGAGGAGGAGGAGAAGGAGAAGCCCATAACCGGCGTGGTGAATGGCATCTCCGTATTTGAACGTGGCGAAAGGGCTGCCAACGGTATCTGCGTCGTGGCCGCCGTCTCGTCCGAGCACCGTCTCGGTCGGTGGAGGACCTGGAAGAAAGCTCGCAACGGTGGTGTCATCTTTGAGGTGCCCCGCTCTCGCGAGCTCTCCGATGACGGGTCGGAGCATGGAGATGAGGATGAGGATGAGGGTGATGATGATGAGGAAGAGGAGGAGGAATAAAGGCGGCCTGGATATATATATGTAAACCCTTTTTTTTCTTTCTCTTTTACTCTTTCACTTCTCTCTCTCTCTCTCTCTCTCTTCTTCCCCTCTCAATCAAGGTAGACGTAAAAAGCACACTCAATTATTTTCATGGTTTTTTTTTTCTTTTCAAAATGGGGGGGGGCTTTCTTTCCTTTTTTTTTCTTGGTATGATGTGTCTCTCTTAGACTTTGTCAACATGCTCTATGTCATGAATATATATTTCAGTGCTATCCTGAATCTGGTCTCTTGACACTGTGATGTTCGACTCTTGATAGCGTCTTGATGTTTAACGCCTGACGCTTGGTCCATTTCCCTTTATATTTCTTTTCTTTTTTGCTAGTGCTATGCTCGATGCTCGATACCTGGGATATCGTCGTATCCTCTCATCTACACTCAAACCCTGCAAAGGACACCTTTTTAACTTGTTGACTAGACGTCTGATGATTCATGCCAAATGTCCACCCCATTCTCCTTCCTGTCCTGTATGCTGATGCGACTCTTCTCGAACAAGACACCGACCAGAACGGAACAAGATGAAAGAACAACGCTCCATGCACTGACTACTCTCTGATCCTACGATTCCACGACTACTCCCTCTCCCCCTGCGACTCCCAACTCCCATACCGCGGGAAGCTGACAGCACTGCGAAAGCTGGTACGCTGTTGAGATCTCGCAGGTGCAGAGTCGACAGACTCCTAGATCTGATCTTCATCTCTGAACCTCTCGATGCCGTGATACTCGGGTTTCCGTCTCGTCGGGTCCACTCCCATCTTCACTTCCATATCCGTGTCCACGTCTGGAGGTGCGTCCACATCGACAATGACGTCGGGCTTTCGCAATCTCCTAGAGAACGAGGCGGATACGCTGTGGCGATGTTGCGGCCGTGAGCGCGCTTGTCGAGGTGTGACCGCTGCGCTCTTGGATCCGGCGTCGTCGCCATCGTCATCGTCGTTGATCTCGATGGATTGGACGACCGGTCTTGTTTGCCGTGCCGTGATCTCGTCACTAGTCTTTCTGGTACGGTGGCCACGTGATGATTCGCCGTCGTCTTCGGATGCTGAGCTGGGAATCCTCTCGACAAATGTAGTAGGGGCGGGGGCGGGAGCGGCGGTGGTCGGAGAATGACGGGTGGTAGGAGCGGCGGGTAGAGGTGGAGGAGGAGTGTCCATCCATTCCGGTGAGGTGGCCCTCGACTTCAAAGTAGTCGGACCTTGGTCGTGAGAAGTGGTGGTCTTCGCATCGTGGAGATGCTCTGAATCTACCCAAGACTGGTCGTCCTTCTTACTAGACGTGTCCTCATCTCCGATGCGGTCGACGGCTCGAGGACTCTCTCTCGTCTCCACGTCTTGCCGCCCTCGTCCTTGCTGCTGCTGCTGCTGCTGCTGATGGTGATGACGATGATGAGAGGTTACGTGGCCGTTATCCTCTTCCGTCTCCCCGTCGCCAGTCTCTGGCTGCTCAGTGTCGTATGGCAGGCTGGCGGTCTTATCCGCTGACGTCTGCTCATCTGACGATGTCACAGCAGCAGCAGCAGGAGCAGGAGCAGCGGAAGCCGCGGGGGAGGCAGCGGCCGAAGTAGCGGCACTGGGTGTCCGAGTCTTCTCCGTCTTCTCCCTCTTCTCCCTCTTGGCCCTCTTCCTCTCCGCCTTCTCCATGTCGTGCCGCTCCTTCTGCTCCCGCTGCAGGTCGAAGAGCAGGTCCCTGATCCGCGCACGCAGCCTGACCGGGTTGACGTCCCAGCCCAGCGGTTCTCTGCGGAGCAGCTTCGCACACGCCGCATCGGGATCCCGCATGAGCTCCTCCATGTATCCCAGGACGAAGACGCCGCAGTCGCAGAAGTTGTCCTGCTCGGGGATGCCCTTTGCCGTCATGCCCGAGGGGCTGAATGCCAGCTCTACGCCCTTCTTGTCCTTGGCTTCCTCGGCTAGATACTCCCTAAGGATCCTGCACGTGGAGGGGTGGGCGCTGCCGAGGGAGTCGAGGGTGATGATCTTGGGCTCCTTGGCGTCGGGTTCCCCCCCGCCCGTGGATCTTCTGGGGGGTCTCGGCCTGCTGCTGCTGCTGCTGCTGTATTGCCTGCTGGGCGTCGGGGTGCGGGGGGGCGGACTGTTCGTGTCGGCTGCTCGTGTGGCCCTCACGGGTGTCGTCAGGCTCCCGCTTCCGATAGATATCCGCCTGACCCGTTCTTCCACGGCGGGCAGGTTGGCTTCAGCGGCAGCCCCGTCCTTTGATCTCTCCGGCGACCCGCCGTCTTGGGCCCCAGGCAGCGCCCTCGACACGTTGCATATGACGGCCAGGTACCAGTGGGCATTCTCGTTGACGGGGACGACGATGTAGTCATACGACAAGAGGTCAATCTTGGCCGTCCATGACCGCACGCCGTCGTACCGGTTCCTGGTCGACGCCTTGAGCTTCTCGAAGAAGAAGCTGCTGAAGATGTGCACCCTGCTGAGCAGCCCTGGGCGCTCCTTCTCCGACTGCACCTGGAGATAGCGGAGGTAGAAGCTGATGATGTTGTCGTTGAGGAACTCGCCATCGTCGAGCCTCGGTATGTCGGCCGCGTCCACCGTCGCCCTGTTCTTTCCCGTGGCCGGGTACACCAGCGACTGATGCCAGCCGTCCATCCAGGACGGGTTGCTCGCCGTCCACGGCTCTCGAGAGCGTGCTGTTTCGGCGGCCACGGGCCCGGGGGACGGGCGTCCTGAACGGCGCGTCTCACGGTTGCCGTATGTGCGTAGCGGTGGAGGATCCGACGGCGACGAAGCCGACTTGGCTTGCCTCGATACATCTATAGCGTCGTAGATCCGCAGCATCCTGTCCTTGACCTTTCCGCTCTCCCCGAGGCCCGTCTTCTCTCCGTCCCCGTCTACGCCCTTGAAGGGGATCTCGGCAGCGATCTTTGTGCTGGGTACGGCTCGCTCTGCACCGGCCGGGGCGGATCTGCTGGGCGGTGCAGGACGACTTTGGGCTTTCTTTACCGAGTTGTTGAATATGCTCTGTACGGTTTCCCTGCAGTGTGTCAGAGAAGAAAAAGAAAAAGAAAACCCCTGCTCATCAGGCCTATCCCGAGCCCTCTCCTGCCCCATTCTCTCTTCTCTCCAACGGGTCGGTATGAACTTACGGCGGAGATACCCGCAGCATTCTGTGAGGCATGACCTCGGTAAAACCGTGCGCTTCCTCTACAGAGGCAAAGCGCAGGGTGAGGGTGGGAGGGGCGCTGGGCGACGAGCTCCTCTGGATGCTGACGTACGGGCTGTCCGCGGCGTAGCGTACGCTCTGTATCTTGGCCGTGGATATCTGAAGCCACAGCCTGCTCCTGCGTGTGGTCGGCGGATCCTCAACCGTCTCGCCATCGGCGTTGAGGATGGCCAGATCGAACACGTCGGCATCGGTGCTGCCGCTCTCGCGCTGGCTGATCCTGCGGGGAAGGAGCCGGGCCTCTTCGCCAGACTGCTCGCGGAACCAGGTATACGAGCCGGAGACGGCGCCGATCAGCGACAGGCTCTTCCGTTGGCCGTCATTCGCGGGCTCGATGGGGCTCCGCTTGGATGGCGAGACGAAGTCGGTGACCTGCATGTCGCCCCGGGAGCGGCCGGCAGTCTTCTTCGGCGACTGCAAGAGGCCGGAAAAGTTGGTCTTCCTCTTCTTGGGAACCACCCCGGACGGCGGCGCATCCGGACGGGACATGGCCTGCAGCTCATCCTCGGAGATGTCGATGGGCTCCCGGGGCGGCAGACTGGGCTTGGACCGCTTGACGTGCGGCTCCGACGGGGGGGACGGCTGCGCGCGCTTGCGCACGGGAGCGCGTCCAGGCGTCGTATCCAGCCTGCGGTATGGCGATGGCGATGGGCTCCCGTCGTCTCCCTCCCGAGCCAGCACATCAGGGCTGTCCGGGGTCTCGGATCGCTGGTGGCCCGTCGAGGAGAGGTCGACGACGTCGCCGGGAACGATGTGCGGCTGCAGCTGCCGGTTCCTTCTCCGCCTCTTACGCCTGGCCGAGGAGCTGATCCTGGGCTGTGCCTGCCTATATTCGGGGAGCGAAGCCGTGGCAGGCGAGGCGCGGTGGTTGTTGCCGTTGCTGGCGTTGGACGTGGTGCTCCTGAGCTCGTAAGGGTCGTCGGGGGTGCCGGCTTCGTAGGCGGGCGGTGGCCTGGTCCGCGGCGAGCCAGGGAAGAAGCGCGAGGTGACGTACTCGGGCGGGACGCCGCCGTTGCTGGGGGAGCTGTCTCTCCTGGATCGCTTCCTGGGAGGTTCGGGGACTGCCACGGCAGCCTGCGCGCGCGAGCCGGAGGCGGATGAGCGAGGAGAAAAGGTGTTGAGGGGACGCCCAGACGTATTGAGTCCCTTCTGCAGGCGGGGCAAGGTCAGTCATCTATGCTGATCTCAGGAAACTCCGGGACAGAGGGTGGATGGAGATTCTAACCAAGTTACCCCGACCCATTTTGCCTCGCGAAGCCCTGGAATATGGTCAGCATCAGGCGTACGGGCGCACATGGGAAGCGGCAGGGAGGAGGAGGCTGGGCGAGGCGTACCCATAATCTGGGAACGAGTTGACGTCGGAAGAGTATCGTGTGAAAGGGCTGGAGGACGGGTTAGTACGGCATGGCCCCGGAGATTCAAGACCGAGCAGAGAGTAGACAAGGCTGAACCATACTCCCATAGAGTCCCTCTAGTATTCCTCCTCACCCTCCTGGGCAGAGCCGTTGAGCGACGGGACGTCCTAGGGTCGTCTCTTTGGTTGGAGCGTGCGGTGTCGAGGAGTTGGTTGGGGTTCCGTCGAGCCAGACTCTGCTCGCTTGATGACCTCGTGCTCTCGTCTGATCTATGAGAGACCTCTATCCTCTCCGAGCATCATCGGACGCGTGCGGGAGAGAGAGAGAGAGAGAGAGATGGGAGGGGAGGGGAGGGGGGACAGTCTCGACGTGAGGCGATGACGACGTCGTTGTGGCGGTCGTGGTGGATATCAACACAAAAAAAAAAAAAAAAAAAAAATCCGAGTGCTGATGAGTGCAAAGAGTGATTGAGCCTTGTCAGTTGCCAGCGGGCCGGCCGAGTTTTAGGGTACCCACCAAAGAGTAAGTGCTCGACCCTCAGTAGCTGTATCTGCATGTGTAGAATCATCTATTATATCCCATCATATATCTAAATGATCATGAGATAAAATAAAACAAATAAAAAGCCCATGTACTGCAGTACAAGATGGGAGATGCGAAAGGAGTGATGTCAACTGTTTATAAATCGTCATGTTGGAGGGGTGAAGAGCTGCTGCGTCATGGTCGGCTCTGTTACAGCGTAGAGGTGCCAGTATTGAGTAGCAGAGCGATCAGGTGTATCATGCATGTACCTTCACATACTGATATGTATGGAGAGGTACTTTTTCATATGCGAATAGTCGTCGCGCATGCTGAATCCTCCATCATCAACCGTGTCCAGACCATCACCACTCTCTCTCTCCTCCCCTCTCCGTCCCCTCTCGACACGCAGCACGATCCCACACGCTTTCCTGACCCCTCCCCCCCCTTCCCGCCCAGCAACCTCTGGGGATTGGACCCCCCAACCTCCAAGATGTACAACTCCCTCACCCGCCTCCAGACCGTCTTTGGCTTCTTCACAACCGTGGCCTTTACCCTGGGAGCTTTCATCGCCGCCACCGATCTCTACGCCCCGCGTACGCCCAGCGGTCTTATCAAGCCTACAAACACTCAAGTGTATGTCTTTACCTCTGTTCATCCAGTTCCGTCTCGGTCTTCTCATCCCCTCTACCGCACACACGCACACGCACACACGCACACACGCGCGCACACACACACACACATATATATATATATATATATACATATATATATATATACTTTTTATTTAATTTTTACATCTTCCATATTCTGACATACAAGACACAGAGTCAGAGGTCGTCCCCACTACTACTCCTCCAAAAAGGAAGAATACGCCATCATCAAGTTCTCCCTCGACGCCGACCTCTCCTCCCTGTTCACATGGAACACGAAGCAGCTCTTCGTCTACGTGACCGCCGAGTGGCCCGCCGCTGATCCCGAATCCCCCGCCGGCGCAACCAACGAGGCCGTCATCTGGGACTCCATCATCACCAGCCCCAGCGCAGACCACCTGTCCAACCTCGGCCCATACTCTCTCAAGAAGCTCAAGAAGAGTGCCGAGGGTAGGAGCATCGCCCCGGAGAGGTATCTCTCTCTTCTTCTTCTTCTTTTTTTTCTTTCCCTTCGTTCCCTCTCTCTCCCCCTCCCTCTCTTGACGCCTTCTTCCTCATCGCTTCCCATGCCAGTCCGAGTTTATAGGCTGACTGAACACCAACCGAAAACAGAGGCCTTCTCCATCTCAAGAATCAGAAACCGAAATACCAAATCACCCACCCCTCCGGCAAGATTGGCGACGTCAAAGACGTGGTCCTCAAGCTCCACTACAACGTCCAGCCGTGGTTCGGTTTCCTGTCGTGGAACTCCGAGGCCGACTACGGTCGCTGGAAGGCCTTTGACGGTGGCGTCAGCCAGGCCTTCAACCTGCCCCCCGTCAAGGTCAAGGACAGTGACAGTAAGAAGAAGTCGTCGTGAGGAAACTGCAAGAGTCCGACAACACGAACATCGTGCGCGTGTATACATATGGGTTAGCGAGGATCAATACAACTCCCCCCCCCCCCCGAACCAAAAAAAAAAATTAAAAAATAAAATAGAAGGGGCAAAATGATCAATCATTGCGGCCACTTCTCGTACACCTCTATTGCTCGTATACGTCTACTACCGTCATTGTAAAGGGGTTCATTCGTACGATTAATATATATATATATATATATATATGCATGTATATACATGTATATATATATATCCGTGCCAAAGTGACAACTTTTTCTACACTACATGGTCCAGTTACGACGTGACGCCCATAAAATACAGATCAAATCATCTAGTGTCCCTTTCTGCCATATCGTGTCATACTTCTTTCCCAACGTGTAAACCCTCTCCGTCCCTCACTGAGCTGCCTGACCCTGACCCCGGCCCTGGCCCTGGCCCTTTCCACGACCACCGCCCCGACCCCTGCCTCCACGACCACCACCGCGGCCACCACCACGTCCCCTCCCTCCGCGGGCATCCAGGCTAGCAGGAGGAGGCACGCTGTTGTACCCTTGGGCGCCGCCCTCGGCGGGACCGCTCTGGTGCTGGACTGCACCGCCGCGGCCTCCACGTTGAGCACCGCCGCGACCACCACGCCCACCGTTGGGCTGCTGGTGCTGCTGGTGCTGCTGGTGCTGCTGAGCCTGGTCCGGTCCGCCGCGGTACACCAACGTGCTGTGCATCAGGTTGGGACCGCCTCCGCCACGCCCGCCGCGGCCGCCAGCGCGGGCGCTGCCATTGCTGTTGGTCTGGCCGTTGGCCTGGCCGTTGATGGCGCCGCGCCAACCGTTTCGCAGGGGCGCAGGGGCGGGGGCGTCCTTGTACTGCGCTGCACCGACGGAGCCGTAGGGACCCTTGGACCCGGCAGCGGCCTTCGGCGCTCGGCGCTGCGACTGACTCGACGCGGTGATGACCTGCCTGTCGCTCGTGTTGAGGACCGACGAGGCCGCCACCGTCTGGCCGCGGAACATGGGCGCGCGGTCGTTGAGCGTCGTGCCGCTCATGAACGACGTGTCCCACACGACGTCGAGGAGGAGCGCCGTGGCCGTGCGGCTGATGCCGACCACGGTACCCCTCGTCGCGATCGGAACCTTGCCCGAGCCGGCCACAAACGTGACGCGGTCGCCCAGGCCAAAGTTCTGGTTGCTGAGGACGAGCTCGGCGTCGGCGGGCTTGAGGAGTGCCGTGCGTGGCACTCCTCGCAGCTTCTTGATCTCAAACTCCTGCGACGCCTGGAACGCTTGCTCGCCCACGCGCGCCAGCGACATGACCACGTCCGAATCCAGCTGCTCCGCCTCGAGGGGCACCTTTTCAAACTTGCCCGTCTCCTGCTTCTTGAGCCAGGCGGCAATGTCCTTGACACGCTGCGCCGCCACCGTCTTGTCGGGCCACAGGTCCGTGTCCGACACGTCGCTCCTCTGCGGCTCTCGCTGGATGGCCGCGAAGAAGTCGGGGAACGCCACCATGTAGTCGGCAATCAGCTTGATGGCCTGGTTGCTGAACTCCCAGCCCGTGTGCGACTTGCGCGAGTACCCCAGCACCTTCATCTTGCGGCCGTCAAACTTGAGGTTCAGGCCCAGGTTGAGCTTCAGCCCACCCGAGCTGTGCACCTGGTACGACGAGGTGATTTTGCTGAGTATCAGGGGGTGTATGCCCAGCTTCTTGGCAACCGCAAACGAAGGCGTGTACGGGTTGTTCCTCTCGGCCGTGTGGATGATGGACCTGGCGAAGTCGGGCTCTTTGTTCTTGAGCTGCGAGACCATGATCTCGGCCTTGTGCCCGACATGCCCCGTTATCTCGAGTGGTCGTCCGTAGGCGTAGTCGCCCAGGAAGAAGGCCCGTGTGCCGACGGGGAAGTCCTCCTCAATCGGGAGGGCCGCCTTCTCGATGAACCGCTCGTCCTCGTTGAAGACAGTGTCCACGATCGTCTGCGAAGCATACGTCTTCCTCAGGCTCGGGTTCTCGGCGTACTCCTTGATCAGGGCGCCTTCGTCCGTCCTGATGAGACCCTTGAGCATGTGCACGTACACCAGGCACTCCACCTGACCAATGACGATGCCGAGGCGCTTGGAGTGCCAGCTCTCGAGGAACTCAGCCTCCTTGGCGTATTCGGCAGCTTCCCGGTTGTTGTGGTCCTTGGTGGCGATGTCCTTGCCATTCTCAGCCAGTTCGTAGCTGAAGAGCTCGTCCTGGACCTTCATGACCTTGGCCTCCTGTAGGAACGGGTAGCCGACGAAGCAGCGCTGACCCAGCTTAGCCTTCCAGGTCTCCACCTTGGTCCGCTTATCCGTCTCGGTGAGGGTGACGATGATGCTGGGGTTCCTGCTCTCCTGCTGGAACACCATCACGCCGTGGTGCGCGACCAGCTGGGCATCGTGGGGGAGGTGGAAGAGCGTCGGGAAACCGGCCAATGCCTTGGTATTGACCATGGCACCGTTGGTCAGACCAGAGACATACTCTAGGCCTTCCATGTCGGGCAGATCGAAAATATTCTCGACGCACCGGCACGAGTGGATGTCGGGGAACACACCCGGCAGCGACGACGGGTAGGTGAAGTTGACGTCCGCCGAGTACGTGAATTTGAGGGGCACGCCGAACCCGTTGCGAGACTTCTCGTCGTCACTGAGCTGGTCGTCCTTGGTCGCCATGGCGTCTAGCAGGCGCTTCTCATCGATAAAGGGAATCTTGACGACAGCCTCCCACTCCATCTTCTTTCCGTTCATGTCCAGCTCGAAGTCACGGGGGTAAAAATCGATGATGGGCGAGTCGGGATTGGTCATGAGGTCGTGATACACCGTCGGGACAATCTTCTTGCTTCGGTCAGGGAGGACACCCATGAGCTGCTGGTAGGGCTTGAACGGCTGGCCCTTTTTGAAGTTGAGATTGGCGTTGAGACCCTTGACGACGTCAGAGATCAGGGGTGCATAGTGGTATTTGTAGAACCACGGCCAGGAAGCGATTCCCCTGTAGTAGTAATACAGGACCCATTGGAGGCCTTGGACATAGTTCTCGGCAAGATCAATCATCTCCTGGCCGTATCTGTCCGGGGCCCATTCCTCAAACTTTTGCAGGTAGTACTTGGTTTTCCACCCCTGGTACTTTTCCTGGTATAGCTTCTCGTAGTTCTTCTGGGCCTCTTCGGGGGTCATGTTCATGACCTTGGCATTGTCGTATGTCCTGATGACTCTGTACGCGGCAATGTTGCCCTCCTCCTCATCGCCGTCGTCGTCGCCGTCGTCGTCGTCGCCATCGGCCTTTGGGGGGAATTTGATGACGAGGTGTCGGCGACCGTCATCGTCCTCCTCTGTTGCCCACTCGATGTGCATCGAGTCGGCAACGGCCTGGGCAAATTTCCGGTCCTCGGCCTTGAGGTCCGCACCCAGATCGAGGGGCTGATCAGACCGTTTTGAGACGTAGGGACGGATCTTCTGCTTCCAGAGATCCCTCTGCGAAGAGGTGATGACCATCTGGCCAGCCTTGGTCGTCTTCTTGCTGGCGGCGCCGTTCCTGCCGTCGAGCTGTCGGTCCTCAATCTGCTTGGCAGCGAACCACTTTTCGTCCGCGACGTCTTTCTCGAATGATATGAGCTCAAGCTTACTGAGTTCCTCAAGGAGGAGCTTGAGCCTGGGGATGTTGATGACACCATTCTCATTGAGGTAGCCGTCGCAGTGCGGCAGAACCTTCTTATATATCCCAAACATGTTTGCCAGGGCGCCCTCGTTAATGTGCAGCCCGGGAAGGTTGGGGAGGAAATCATTTCCAACAAAGAAGGCCATCAGGATGAAGTCATCGATAACACTCTCCAGGTTGAATGGGAACTTGAGGTTCTCAATACCCTGAAACTCCATGGCCAGATACTCTCTTACTATGCAGAGATGCATGAGGTAGAAGTTCTGGTGCTCGAGCTCCTTGTTTTGGGATTTGGAAGCACGGCCAAACGTGACCTCTTCACGCAGAAGACAGAAGTGAGGATCGTGACTGAGGAGGCCCAACATGATGAGGTCGGCGTCGAGGCCGTAGAGACAGTGTCGCACATTGGGGTGGTAGCCAGGTTGCGACTTGGCGTTGCGGATGTACTCCATGATCTTGTGCTCTCCCTCACCGGGAACCTCGTGACCGGAAAGAACAACCTCACATCCCTGCCAGTCGGTGTCTTCGGAGACCTTTTTGTTGACAAAGTAGCGAAGCTGTTGCGAGAGCTTAGCCATGAAGGCAGTTCCTATCAAAGCAGTGTTGGTACTGGCTGGCTATACGAGTAAGTTGAAACATCACGTACCAGGAGTGATGCAGTTGCTGTCGAAAGGCTCCTCCTTGGGCATCTCGACACCTTCACGGATGGCCTTTTCACGGGCATTCTCGGCGTCGAGAGCGGTACGGAATCGCCGAGAGCGCTGCTGGTTCATCTTAGCGCGAGGGGCGACTCCGTCAATGGCCATGAAGAACAGCTGCCTCGGCTTGATCTTTCCAAACAGATGCTCAATATAGTTGAAAATACGGATAAACATCTCCTCCTCGCTCAGGCGGAACGTCGTGTCTTCTCCGGCATCTTTGTGGGTGCAGTTGTGGATGATTCCATTCATATCCAGCTAAGAGAGCTCGTTAGCACGTCGGCTCACTAGCCGGTTAGGGGGGGTCGAGGGAGATGTCGTACGTAAAGGCAGTCAAACTCGGGTATACGGTTCTCAGCAATGAGCTGCGAGATGGACGGATAGCGCTCCGAGAGCCATCTGAAGAACTTGGGCACACTGCGCGCAGACTAGTCAGAGAGGACGTTTCAAGGTGACGGCCGGATGGTGGGTAAGGATGTACCCCATGGTGACGGCAGTTCGCGGGTGTGTTCAGCCCTGCGTAATGAAAGAAAAATATGTAGAACAGTTGAAGGTAAAAAGGTACAAAGACCAGGGTGGTGATGCTGGAGCAGCGTTGAAGAAATGCGTTGTCGCAACCCAAGCGCCGGATCAGATGGCGGAACGAGCCTAGATATGAAACTGAACAGACCCCAAAGCCTCGTGTCTACAGGTTCAAATAGGTCAAGGAGAGGTACGGGCCGTCGCGCTTCGTGAAGGAAAGTCTGCTCGTGGGGGCTGAGGTAGGAAGGATAAAGGTTGATGTAGGACTGAAGAACTGAAGCTGGGATGACTCGGCCACCAAGCGACTATGGTTGGCCGCATTACGATTAGCGGGGGGGTGGGAGCACTGTAGTCCCTGTAGTCGTGGGACTGTCCAGTGATACAGGCTCGTGGTGGGGTTCCATGGAGCTGGCCACGGAGGGCTGGACGGTGGACTCTTGGTGGGGTCTGCGAAGTTATTAGGTGCCCTACCTGGACCTCCATCCATCCATCCATCAGGTTATTGACTGGCCGCCGATGGCCACCAGTAGCTGGCTCTGAGCCCCAGACAGAGCCCCAGGCAGAGCTCCAGGCAGAGCTCCAGGCAGAGTTTGCCTGCGCCACATATCTTGCACATACAAGCAATGATATCCTACACTTCATCCTTTCATCCTTACGAGTATGGACCTCACCAGCCACAGTCACAGACAGCCATAGTAAACAGCTAGAGCTCCTTCCCTCCCTTTAACTGATTGGGCGCCTTCCCCAGGTCCATTTACGCGCGACGCGTTCATCTTCACTTTTCCACCAGCCTCTCTCACCTTGGCCCCTCCGTCCGCCACCATAGCACATCATCTCACCACCGGCTTACTCCCGCATAAACCGCCACTAGCATACGTATCTCCTGTATACCGTACCGGGACTTGACACATCATGGCGCCCGCACAGGTCGCAGACCCCGTCGAGGATGGTGAGCTTCTATTTCACCCATGCCTCTCTCCGCCCTGAACGATCAACCGAGCTCACACTCTCTGCGCAGTCGACATGACCAACGATGATGAGGATGACCAGGCCGAGCGTCTCATCAATGAAGGTATGGCAAAAGTTGTCGCTCGAGAACATGGTCGGTGCCGTGCATCATCTCTAACACGTGTTCGTAGAGTACAAGACATGGAAGAAGAACAGCCCCTTCCTCTACGACATGATCTTGGGGTAGGTCCCACCACATAGCTGTTCACCACGTATCGTGTCGCCGCAATCGACTGACATGAAACAGAAAGGCATTGACTTGGCCCACCTTGACGGTCCAGTGGTTTCCGGATGTTAAGGATGTCGCGGACCAGAACTTTCGCACCCATCGCCTCCTGCTCGGCACTCACACGTCAGATGACAGCCCCAACTACCTCCAGATTGCCAATGTCCAAATCCCCAAGCATGTGTCGCCGAACCCCGACAGCTACGACGATGAGCGTGGGGAGATTGGAGGCTACGGGAAGACGGGCGACGTGGCAGCCATCAAGGCCGACATTGTTCATAAGATTGAACACCCCGGCGAGGTGAACAAGGCCCGCTACCAACCCCAGAACCCCGACATCATTGCCACTCTATGCGTCGACGGTAAGATTCTCATCTTTGACCGCACCAAGCATGCCCTCCAGCCGACCACGCTCGGCAAGATCAGCCCCCAGGTTGAGCTGGTCGGACACAAAGCCGAGGGGTTCGGACTGGCCTGGAGCCCGCACGAGGAGGGCTGTCTGGCTTCGGGCAGCGAAGACAAGACTATGTGTCTTTGGTAAGCGCATACGTAGACACAGCTGTGTCGGAATCTTGGACTGGACGTCATTACTGACTGGTTTTCCCCCCCCCAGGGACTTAAAGAAGCTCGAGGCCGACACCAAGGTCCTCAAGCCGTCTCGCCGATACACGCATCACAGCCAGGTCGTCAACGACGTGCAATATCACCCCATCTCTAAGAACTTCATCGGCTCCGTTTCGGATGACCAGACGCTGCAAATTGTGGACGTGCGCAACGGCGAGACGGACAAGGCGGCTCTGGTCGCCAGGCGGGGACACCTTGACGCGATAAACGCCCTGTCATTTAACCCCAACTCCGAGGTGCTCGTGGCCACGGCCTCTGCCGACAAGACCATCGGTATCTGGGATCTGCGCAATGTCAAGGAAAAGGTTCACAGCCTTGAGGGACACAACGATGCCGTGACATCACTTTCATGGCACCCCACCGAGGCTGGAATCCTCGGCAGCGCCAGCTACGACCGCAGGATCATATTCTGGGATCTGTCGCGCATCGGCGAGGAGCAGCTCCCCGACGACCAGGATGATGGACCCCCCGAGCTGTAAGTTACTTCCCAACTGGCCCAAAGGCGGACTCCCTTCTCGACCCGAAACTAATTCTCACCCTCCTGTCCAGGCTTTTCATGCACGGCGGCCACACCAACCATCTCGCCGACTTTAGCTGGAACGTCAACGAGCCCTGGCTGGTAGCCAGTGCCGCCGAGGACAACCTGCTGCAGATCTGGAAAGTTGCGGAGTCGATTGTCGGCAAGGACGACGGTGACCTCCCCGTTGATGAGCTCGACCGATAGTTGAGGTGGAAGTTTGCAAAGAAGGAGGCGAGCCCTTAGGAGGAGAGCAACGAGGCCTCACACAACGATGGTCACCAAAAGGATGATCAGGTAGGCGAGGGGAAGCAAGACGGCGAGGAGGATATGGACAGCGAGGTCCGTCGGAACATGGAGGAGATGATGAAAATCGAGGAGGTCCTGGACAGCGTTGAGGATCCGGAAGGCCTGGAGATACGGTTGAGCGAGGAGATGCAGGACAACGAGGAAGAGAAATTCATTCAGGAAAAAAACAGGGCGGCCAGGATAACGAATACACTCGAGAAGCAAGGTGGCCAACATAGTGATGGGCCGCAACATCAGGAACATGATCAGCAGGATGACCTGATGAATGGTTAGGATGCCAACCAAGACGGCCAAGGTGATGATGGCCAAGGGGGGGCGAGGGGGGTGAAGGGGGTGAAGGGGGTGAAGGGGACGACAGAGATGAGAACGAGAACAGCAGCTCGGAAGAAGGTAAAGGAGAGGACAGAGGCTCTGGCTACATATCGGGATCAAACCCTCAGAATTGATAAACGCAGACTTGGGGGCAGGCTCGGACCGAGGCGAAGGGGAGCCTGTACGAAGACGAAGAGATGACGAGTGTAGAGAGACGTTTGCTGATGCGGCGCGATACTGCAGCGTATCGTGAGCAAGGGATGGTTTTGCTTGGGGATTGCTGCTAGTATCAAAGAAGAAAGACGTGTTTGCTCTGAATAGCCCCCGAGAAGATGACCGTGATGACTTTGTGATGGCGACAGCTGCCGGACAGCCGTCAGCTTGGACTCACCTCAGCCCCCCTGCACCCGCGACACTGCATTTCCCCAAATTGAGAGGTCGTATGGCTCTATTGACTCCATCTGCATTCGTTTTATTGTCGATTAGACATCGTCATTGTTTCCATCCGCCTGACAGCCAACAGTCCAACAGTTCAACACTATTCACCGTGTGAAGCTTTGCTATAAAAACCGGTGCTGGCACCCGGACAGCATGCGCTCATCCCCATATCCTTCACCGAAAACACTCTGCTCCCTCCTTCTCCTCTGCTCCGTTGCCTCCCTCATCACCACCACCCACGCATCTGCTCACTGGACGTCATCCTCTTCCACACTGATCTGCCCCCTCTCTTCTTCTACACCAGCTGATCTCCTCGTGAACCATGGTCACCACCATCACGCCCTTCGACCCAGACGACGTGCTGGCCCGGAGCATCCAGCGCGGCATCGATGCCGAGGAAGCCCAGCACCTCATCTCGGCCATGCTCCACGGGCTTCAGGCGCGGCAGGGTCGCCTCCCCGCGAATGCGGAGCGTGTCAAGTCTGTCCTGCGGACCATGTTCGCCTCCGAGTGCGAGAAGCTCGACGCGCCAGACCGGCAGGGCGAGGAGGTGGACGCAGAGCGCGACCTGCTCCTGGTCATGATGGAGAAGGAGGTTGAGCAGCGGCTGCCAAGCATCTCCCTGCGACGGAGCGACCGCGACAACACGGTCCGGTACGACTTCAACCAGGCTGCGCGGGACGGATATTTCCAGGGGAGGGACCCCTACGAGCTCACCGAGAAGGCCAGCGCGGACGATACCACCGCGCAGCAGCAGCGTCGACGGCGGCAGTGCACGGCCTGCCCGACGGAACGGCAAGACATCGTCACACGTCTGTGCTCGCACATGGAGCTGTCGGTGGAGCTGGGCAAGCACCTGCGCGCGGGCGACATCCTGAACCTGTACATTGCCAGCGGGGCGTTCCGAGTATCGGTAGGGCGCTACATGCAGTCGAGCGTGAACGCGTGGATCGGGCACCGGTGCGCGGAGGCGGGGCGCATCTTCCCGCTCAGGCTGTACAGGCGGCTGGTCATCGCCGACCCGGGGGGGCGGACGTGGAGCGACATGGGCGACGGGCGGGTGGAGGCGTCGCGGCAGGGCAGCACGCGCACCGTCCCGGGGCTGCGGTACCTGCAGCTCGTCATGGGGCGGGACGCTTGCTGCCGGTCGATATGCGGGCTGCTGGCGCGGATGGGCCACCGCACGCCGCGGACGATGCCGTCGACCCTGCTGCGGCTCTGGCTCCTCATGGACGTCGGCCAGACGCGGCACCGGGCGGCCATGCTGCGCAACCGGCGGCTCTGGCGCGACGCTGACCTGTACAACGCGCAGCTGCTCTTCGTGAAGCTGTGCCTGGTCTTCAACGACCCCGTCTACGGCCCGACGTCGTGCGAGCTGCTGCACGTCATCCTGGGCCAGCGCGGCCTGCACCCCCTCTGGCAGCTCCTGACGCGCAAGCGGCTGACGACGCTGCCCGAGACGCTCGAGGCCAAGGTCCGGTACGACTACGACACCGACGGCGGCCGCCGCACCGCCCCGGCCGCGGGACCCGACCAGGGCGAGTTCCACGGCGTGCCGCTCTGGAACGTCGGCACAGGCCACACGGAGGGCTGGGGCGCCCCCGGGGCCGGCACCACCCGCCACCTCGCCCGCCCGGACGAGCTCGTCCCCCTCGAGGCCGTGCGCCGCGGCCTCCGTCTGGACCTGCACATCCGCCACATGATGCTCTGGGGCCACATCGACTGGGTCACGGGCGAGAACCTGGTGCCCACGGAGGAGGAGATGTACGTCTCCGACGACGACGGCGGCGAGACGCTGAGGGACGTCGACACCACGACCCACTGGCGCGCGAAGCACGCCCGGAAGAAGCGATGGCCCCACCTGTCCGACGACCAGAGGCGGGATATCCGCCAGGAGGACGAGGACGACCGTCTCAGGGCGATGGGGTGGTGCGGCGGCGGCGGCGGCGACGACGACGACGGCGACGACGACGACGACGGGGACTACGAAGACACGGACGACGACGCCTACTCGCTCGACGACGAGATGGCAAGGGGTTACGTTGTACCCCCGCAGAAGAGGACCGGTGCCGGCTTCGCACCCCCGCCTCCAGGTGTCAACGACCGGCCTGGCTGGACCGAGTTCGTCAAGAGGGTCCTCATGGGCGCGCCCGTGAGCTTGGATGGAGATCCTGCCGTCACGGCACAGGGCCGTGAGCCTCGGTCGGCAGGTTTCTCAGCTGGATGACTCCGAGGTTGAGCGCTGAGTTTTCTCCTCCAGAGGGGGAGCTGCTATCCTCTTCAATACCGGTCGAATCGTCCGTATGCACACATACCGTATACACATGCACCCGTATACACACACACACACATATATATACGTATACACAATGTCTCATACATAGTCTCGTCACCATGCAAGAGCACACCACACCCCCCCTCCCTGCCGCGCAATATCAGCTCAATAGTTGCAGTGCTGTCAATGTAAATTTACCTACCGAGCAAGACCCATGCTCGGAACTATCATCTACCCCTTCACTCTAACGCTATGCACTATCCGCACTTTGCCGTGTGAAGAAGATTAACAAATACAAAAGGGGGAGGGGTCTGGTGGAACGGGGAGGAAAAGAAAAGGGGGTAAAATAACAGAGATCACTCTCTCTTTTCTCTCTTCTCTCTCTCTCTCACTCTCTCACTCTCTTAAAAAAAAACACACATGCAAACAAGAGAGACAGGCGACGGGAAAGAAGATAGAAACGATCAGATTGATACAAAACAAAAGAAGTGAAAGAAGAATCAAAAGCTAAGTACCCTCCGGGAGATGCTCCCCTTCACCATTCCTTGTTTTCTTTTGCTCCTCTCTCTTTCTCTTTCTTTTTTTTTTTAAAAAAAAAAAAGAAAAGAAAGAGCGAGACTAGCCTAGTCAAATGCCGATATAGAGCTTTCCTTCTTTCCACGAGAGTCTCGATACTTGTTCTCTCTCTCTCTCTCTCTCTCTCTTCCCCCCTCGTTTTCCATCCACCTTCCAACCAATCCTTCCATCTTCACATCATTTTTTGTCGCGGATGCAAGATCCCAGATAAATTCAAAAGGTCCGTCTCTCCAACCCCGCCAGCTCCAAAAGACCAGATTAGCCAAATAAGTGCTCTGTACCTGTATGACAAACAGCAATATAAAAAAACACTTTTCATATTTTTTCCAGCCTTCCAATGATTTTGTAATCGCCCCTTTTTTTGCCTTTGTAAAAAGAATAACATAACAGGAGAGAATATAGAGAAGAATACCAAGGCATTCGGGAAGAGAGTAAGAGTAGGAAACAGAATAAAAGTTGAGGTAAAAAAAAAAGAAAAAAAAAGAGGGAGAGCAAAAACCTACACTCCATCCGATCCGAACTTCCCAAACCGATCCGCACATACATACAACGCAAATATCCACAACCCACCATCCCCTCCCCCTCCCCCCACCCCCGCCCCAAAATAAAATAAAAATAAACAAAGGGTAGAAAGAAAGGGAAACAAAGTTGCCAGCAGGGGAAGGAGATGCTATACCCTCCGTCTTCTCCTTGGCACGGCTCCAAAATGCTCACTATCAACTCTATATTGCGTCTTCTCTTCTTTTGGTTTCCGTTCCTCCCTCCCTCGCTTCCGTGAGCCACACCCCAACGCCCAAACACAAAAGGGGGTAATATAAAATAATAATAAAAGGTGGCAATATGCATCCCGCCGGGCAAGGAAAAATAAAACACAGTCTAGAGGAACGTGTAATGCAGCACGACAGCACGGCAGCCTTGGTGGTGGAGCGTCGTCACGTCTCTGCCCCCTCTCAGGCAGCGGCTTCCTTAGGCGGGCGACTTGCTGGGGGGGCCGCCACCGTTCTGGCGGGCATCGTTGCCGCCAACCGAGAGGCCGCCCATCCCGCTGGAGAGGAAGGCGAAGGGATCGCTCTCGCCGCCGCCGTTGTTGGCAGCGGGGTTGCTGTTGTAGAAGTTGTTGGATGGACCCGCCGACGCCGGGCCGTTGGTGGCCGACTGGAAGGCTGCCTCGGCAGCTCGGCTGTCAAAGGGACCTGCCGAGTGCGATCCGGGGCCCGAGCTGAAGCCCTGCGTGTTCAGGGAGCTGGGGTAAGCACCAGCGCCCCCGCCGAGACCGGAGGGCAGGAAGTGGCTGGGAGGACCGCCAAAGTGCTGGTTGTAGCCCCCGGCGCCCGCAGCAAAGGAGCCGCCGGAGCCAAAGGGGCCCGGAGCAGGGCCCGGGCCGGGTCCAGGACCGGGAGTGCCGGCCATGGACCCCTGGCTCATGCCGTACGGAGACGCACTGTCCATCGTGGGACCGGGTCCGCCGGGGCCGGGATAGCCCGAGTCGGCGATGACGGCAGCGCCGGCCCGGCTGGCTCCGCAGCGGAGGCAGCAGACGTTCTTGGCAAAGTTGTGGTATCCGCAGACCTCGTTGCCGCACTTCCAGTCGCCGGCACGGAACGGGACAGCCCCGCTGCCGCCCATGCGGCCACCGCCGTGACCCATGTGTCCGTGGTGGCCGCCGTGAGGGGGAGGCACCATGTGGGCGGGTCCGTAGCCGCCGTAGCCGCCGTAGCCGGCGGGCCCGCCGCCCATCTCCTGAGGGCCGGAGCCCATGGCGGGGAACGAGCAGCGGAAGCAGGCAGTACGGCGCTGGAAGTTGGAGAAGCCGCACGAGGGGCAGGTCCAGTCACCGGGGCGAGGGCGGTTCTTGCTCGGCGGGAAGGGGGTCAGGATATCCTGAGCGCGGTCGAGGACGCGGCTGGAGGAAGGAGAGACCTCGATGGCCTTTTCGTTGAGGGCACGTCCGTTCATGCACAGGCTCTCGGCAGCCTCCTCGTGGGAGGAGAAGACGGCAAAGCCGGTACCGGTAGGCTTGTGCTGCTCCGGGGTACGGAGGGTCCAGAAGGCAATGGGGCGGCCCCCAAACTGGGTGAACCAGCTCTCGAGCTCGGACTGGGTCGTGTCGTGGGGCAGGCCCGACATGTGGAGGACCTTGCTCCTCTCCGAGAGGAAGGCGCGGACATCTGCGCGGGCGTCCATGGGGCGGGTGAGCACGTCCGGGTGCTCCTGGCGAGGCTGAGACTTGCGGATGAGGCCGCGGAGGACGCGGGTCAGGGTGACGGCCTCCTCCATAGCACGACGGGGCGAGGCCGGAGCCAGAGCCTGCAGGTGAAAGGGGAGGTTATGCTTGATCGGGGCGCTCGACTGGACCGGCTCGACCTCGAGAGCCGCACAGATGTTGGAGAGCATCGAGGGGCCAAAGGGCAGCGACTCGGGATGGTGCTGCTGCCACCGCTGGTACTCGGTGCGCAGGTCAAAGGTGCGAGAGTGCTGCAGGTAGGGGGGCAGGACAACAGCCTTGTCGCGGGCTTCACGGGGCAGCTGGACACGGAGATCCCAGGCGTCGAGGGTGACGAAGACAAAATCGAGGTTCTTGGACGTCAAGTGCTCGGTAGCAAAGGCATCGAATCGAGAGATGGCATCTCTAAAGGTACCCGCGTTTCGAATGTGCTCCCAAGTCAATGTGGTGAGGCTCGCTGCGGAGAAGTGGACGGGTCAGCAGAAGTGTGGGCTAGGCCTGACACTTGACCGGCAGTGCAGGATGGAATTTTCGGATGACGGCGAGGACGATGCTGCACTGGCAGCATCTTCCTCAACCATCTGGACTGCTGCCACGCTCCCGGAGGTGTTGCGGATGGCGAGGAGCCTTCCAGGCCCATAGGGGTCTCATGTAGAGGTAGAGAGGTGCGACTCGGATGATGGAGACGCGAATTTTCGAGGGGGGGGACCTACTGCAGAGTGGAGTGATGGGCGTGTTGACGGGCTTGACGAGGACACTCTCGTGGGCAAGCTGTTTAGGCGTGAAAAAAAAGGAGAAAAAGGGGGGAGGGGTCAGTCGGTGCAAGCTGGCAGAGAAGGATGTGCAGAGCGAGAGCTTGCTTACCTCTTCGAGCGAGTTGGCATCCATGAGGATCCATCCAAACTCAATCACCTCGGCGGAATCCTTGGTAACATAGACACCATGCTCGTCACAAGTGGTCGCAACGTGGATGACGACGTAGCGGTCGACGCTGGACTGAGGGAGCTGTTGCGAAGACATGATGGGCAATTTTTGTTATGCCGTGTGAATTCGAGGCGACGTGTGACCGCGCGGGTCAGCTATGGAACGCTTGGACTGCAGGCCTGCAGAACAAGCAAGCAGCAGATGCGAGAGGGAGGTTTTGCTGTGTCAATCCGCTGGGTGGGATTGTCGGCGTAGGTGAGACGAGCTATGCCTGTGACCCGGCCAGCTCGACGTGACGGGCGGGATGGAAAAAAAAAAAGGGGGGGGGGGGGGAGAGGTTGGGTGGGTAGGTGAGAAGAAGCGCTGTAGGAGAGCGCTGTAAGGGAAGCACCGTAGCGGTCCAATAGCGAGCGGATCACCTGTACAGACACGTACAGAGGGCGGCTGTCCACTGACAGGAATACATACTCGCCCGAGCACTGGCGTCTCCTGGCAGCGTCGACCGTCGGCCTTGGGGGGGTTTTCTCTCGGGGGGGCCTACTATGTTGGGGCCTTTCTCTTCCCCAATGGATCCATCCACGGTCAGGAGTCACTACACCGTAATACCGCTCTCGTGTACGGATACTAGCGAAGTAGTGCGTTCCACGACTGACAGGGCAGTTGGCAGTAAGTTATTCCAGGGGCCCCCCAGAGAGCGGCCCTTGGGCGGTGGTCCTTGGGTGGCGGCCCTCCGCCTCGGGTGGCCCTTGGGAGCGCTGTGCGTGTGGCCCACCGGGTGCAGGCGCTCCATGGCTCAGGAGGTTGCCCAGTGGGAGGGAAGCCGTTGGTGGAGGGTTGTGGGGAACGCACACCTGCACGCGCACACACACTCGGGAGAGTGAGGGATGCACAGTGGGTGGTCTGAATTGCAAGTTGGTGGTCGTATCTCATGGACCCATCGGCATCCATCAGAGGAGTGAAAGAGAGGTGAGGAGAGGAGTTGGAGGGGAGATGGCATGACAGAACAGGAATCTATAGGCTGCTGCTATTGCTACTACTACTACTACTATTGCTACCATTACTACCATTACTACTACTACTATTGCTGCTACTACTACTACTACTACTACTACTACTACTACTACGAACAGTACTACTACGAACAGTATTACTATATCTGCACATGAGAAGCTCCATAGCACCTTCNTGTTGCGGATGGCGAGGAGCCTTCCAGGCCCATAGGGGTCTCATGTAGAGGTAGAGAGGTGCGACTCGGATGATGGAGACGCGAATTTTCGAGGGCAGGGACCTACTGCAGAGTGGAGTGATGGGCGTGTTGACGGGCTTGACGAGGACACTCTCGTGGGCAAGCTGTTTAGGCGTGAAAAAAAAGGAGAAAAAGGGGGGAGGGGTCAGTCGGTGCAAGCTGGCAGAGAAGGATGTGCAGAGCGAGAGCTTGCTTACCTCTTCGAGCGAGTTGGCATCCATGAGGATCCATCCAAACTCAATCACCTCGGCGGAATCCTTGGTAACATAGACACCATGCTCGTCACAAGTGGTCGCAACGTGGATGACGACGTAGCGGTCGACGCTGGACTGAGGGAGCTGTTGCGAAGACATGATGGGCAATTTTTGTTATGCCGTGTGAATTCGAGGCGACGTGTGACCGCGCGGGTCAGCTATGGAACGCTTGGACTGCAGGCCTGCAGAACAAGCAAGCAGCAGATGCGAGAGGGAGGTTTTGCTGTGTCAATCCGCTGGGTGGGATTGTCGGCGTAGGTGAGACGAGCTATGCCTGTGACCCGGCCAGCTCGACGTGACGGGCGGGATGGAAAAAAAAAAAGGGGGGGGGGGGGGAGAGGTTGGGTGGGTAGGTGAGAAGAAGCGCTGTAGGAGAGCGCTGTAAGGGAAGCACCGTAGCGGTCCAATAGCGAGCGGATCACCTGTACAGACACGTACAGAGGGCGGCTGTCCACTGACAGGAATACATACTCGCCCGAGCACTGGCGTCTCCTGGCAGCGTCGACCGTCGGCCTTGGGGGGGTTTTCTCTCGGGGGGGCCTACTATGTTGGGGCCTTTCTCTTCCCCAATGGATCCATCCACGGTCAGGAGTCACTACACCGTAATACCGCTCTCGTGTACGGATACTAGCGAAGTAGTGCGTTCCACGACTGACAGGGCAGTTGGCAGTAAGTTATTCCAGGGGCCCCCCAGAGAGCGGCCCTTGGGCGGTGGTCCTTGGGTGGCGGCCCTCCGCCTCGGGTGGCCCTTGGGAGCGCTGTGCGTGTGGCCCACCGGGTGCAGGCGCTCCATGGCTCAGGAGGTTGCCCAGTGGGAGGGAAGCCGTTGGTGGAGGGTTGTGGGGAACGCACACCTGCACGCGCACACACACTCGGGAGAGTGAGGGATGCACAGTGGGTGGTCTGAATTGCAAGTTGGTGGTCGTATCTCATGGACCCATCGGCATCCATCAGAGGAGTGAAAGAGAGGTGAGGAGAGGAGTTGGAGGGGAGATGGCATGACAGAACAGGAATCTATAGGCTGCTGCTATTGCTACTACTACTACTACTATTGCTACCATTACTACCATTACTACTACTACTATTGCTGCTACTACTACTACTACTACTACTACTACTACTACTACGAACAGTACTACTACGAACAGTATTACTATATCTGCACATGAGAAGCTCCATAGCACCTTCCTTCTACTAGGAGCAGTTAGTCATACGACGTAAGTATTACTATAATACATTCATGAGTGACAGGTACGGCAAGCACTGCGGCAGCACCTTCCCGGCTTTCTTCCCTCGGTGTTCCTTGCCACATTGGCCGCAGCTGCGCCGCAGGTTCGGAGCAACACATAATATGACCTTGGGCATATGTGCCCAGCATGTCAGTGTGCCATCCGTGGGACGGTAGTGATAGCCCACACCACCACCATCCTCTGCGAGTCGGAGCCCTGCCACGGCGTCGTGGTTGAGATGCATGTACGGCTTGGAGTCGAGAAGAGTGCAGCCTCCCGACGAGCTCTCGGACGATCGCCGCGTTGCAGGTGGCTTTTTGAGGGGCTGACCGGTGTCAGCACGTATCGCTGCTGCTGCCGTCGCTGCTGTCGATGCAGCTCTAGAACGTGAACTGTCAGGGCTCTATCGTACCTGTTACTCGTAGGCGACTACTGCAATACTCCGCAGGCCCGTCACCGTCACAGGTGTCTCGTTGCCTCGCCTTGGCAGGAGGTTATCAACAGATGTATCATGACTAACAAGTGCCGTTGGGGGAGATGCGGTGTCTTTTCTTCTTCTTCTTCTCTTTTTTTTCTTTTCTCTCTTTCCTTCTTGTCTGCCTTCTTTCCCCCCCCCCCCTTCCGTTCTCTACAATGGAGTTGGAATTGGGGCAGAGCAGTGACACTCGTCATCCGCTGCTTAGCATGTATTGCAGGAGTACAGAGTACAGGACGTTAGTATTACTCGTAGTATATGTGCAGTGCTCCCTGCAGAGTGTCACTACGTTGACAGAACGTCGCCCGGCCCCCCTGGCACGGCGCATGTCAAAAAACGTCATCCACCCCCCATCCATGTTTAAATCCTCGTGGGCGGTCCTTGGCCCTGGGACCGCCATTGCGCTAACATGGTACGAGTTTTTACTCGTACCATGTTACCGGTTGGCGGTCGGCGTCCAAGCTTTACCGACAATGTGTTCTTGCACATTTTAATTAACAGTGTTATTTATAAATATCATAGCATGCTCTCAAGAAAGCAACCTGTCGCCAACACCACAGATTATGTTGTTGCGGGTAGTGCGATATATCCCATGCTGATGGCTATATTCGTACGTGTAGTGGCATCATCACCCTACGGGGGATATATGCACTCTCACAGTGCCGGCCACTGCGTTCCTGTCCCTTCTCCTTCTTTCTCCTTCTCCCCCTTCTTCTTCTATATTATTATGGAGTAAATTCTCTCTATTTTACTCCGTAATAGTCCTACAAGGGGGGCCACTGTGGACTTTCTCTCCCTCTTTACCTGTAGTCCCTTTCCGTTCTTCTTCTCATTCATCTACTTTTTATCCACCACTACATGAAGAATGTTTGGCTGCTGATGAGACGGCGTAACCTTGAAAGTGCGAGTACGAGCGATAGCGCCCTTCCGTGCCGTCTGCTCGTACTCGTACTCGACATATCATCAACCCCGTCACACTCTTTCCCGTGACAGCGGAGCCTCCCGTCTGGCCGCTCGAACTTGCATGCATACTCGTACATGTGTCTTCTCTCCTGTCACGCACGCGCGCGCGAACTGAGGGAGGGAGGGGTCAGTCGGATGATGAGGGGTCTCTCCGGACGCGTGGTTGCGTTTCCTTTTATCCCTTCCTTCCTTCTCGTCTCGTCGTCGTCCCCTCCCCCCTACTCTTATCCTGCCGTGTTTACCAGCTAGGGTTACCGTGATTTGGGGTTTCCGGTTGGGGGGGGTTGGGGGGGGGGTCATATTGCGGCCCGCGATGCACGCACTGATACTGCTCGTCGTAGTCTGACAACCCTACTGACATAACAAGCATCATGACCTTGTCCTTTTCTAGAAGATTATTCACGAGTATTCATCCATGCCCCCGCTGTCTCGTATGGGCCGCAACGGCTCCGTTCAGGAGACCCAGGACTATAATCCCTTCATTGTCAATCATACAGATGACGTCTCATTTCCGGTCACCCCGGCTAGATTCACTTCACCGGGGTCCGGGCGTTGAGACGTAATGATACTGGCGAGCTGCGACGGAGGGCATTCGTTGCCATGTCACGTCACGATTGGCCGACTCGATGGACCCTGAGGCGTTGGCTCTGTTGCGGATTTCCGTACAGAGTACTGACGAGCTGGTTGGTGGTGACCCTCTAAACTTGGTCATTGAGTCCATCCGGGTTTACGAGCGAGTAATACGGCATGAAGGTATCACGATTGCTAGTACAGATAGATTACTGCTACCAAGGTAGTAAAGAGAAGAAGATGATGGTGGGGAAGATCCGGCGGGTCTTTTCTGATGGTGAATCCATACATAATATCGCTAGGCTTGCGGTGTATTATCATTATCATGTTACCGGGGGAAACATGGGGAAAAAAAGAAGAAAAAGAAGAAAAAGAAGAAGAAAACACACTCCAGTCTACGGGTCGTACGAGTCTACGAAGTGGGGGTCGGTACATCAACCCTACTCTGTTTGGCGTCATGTACGTTATTACTTGGCGGGCTGTACAGATTAATCTGTACAGATTACTCCGTACACGTTACCGGTTATTGCTCCTGGTTGTACGGAAGCAGTGATAATGGCCTAGCCAGTAGCTTAGCTCCCATCGTACATGCAGGTAGATCCTCGAGGGGACAGAAATAACGGGACATGGCATTCTCTAGGTGTGAACTAGAATTCCACATCGTTTCTGATCTTCTTCCCATCTACAAGTATGGTGTTCTATCATGAGTCGATCGGATCGAAGGGCGTGCAACCACGTGCCTTGCAAAGCAGGAAGTATAGATGTAAATGCCCGTACCTGTACATGGCTGGGCTGGCTGGGCTGGCTGGGCTGACAAGACGAAAGACGTCAGTCAATCGCTCTCTCTGTCCCGAGACACGTCATATGTCCGCCCCCGAGGCAGAACTCAGCTGCTGCATCATCATTGACATCACCAGCAGAAGCACCTCTTGAGAGACGTCGGAGAAGGACGCCGTGTTCGGATATAGAGGCAGCTCCCTACACTGCTTAGTTTTTTTTCATATTCTTCTTCGCCCTTGATCCTGCGAGGACCATCATCTTTCTCGACCGCCAACCTTCTTACTGCCAGCCGCCGCCGCTTTGCATTGCGCCACACGGCAAGACAGCACTCGTTAACCAGGAGAGAAGGACATCGTCACCATGGGTGTCGTATCTGCCGTCCTCGCCGTTCTCATCACCATCTTCTGTACTCACCCCTTCTCCTCAGAGCCCGATGTCCTTCTCCGGTCTTGCTGACCAGCTGTCACAGTCCCGCCCGTCGGCGTGTTCCTCGTGGCAGGATGTGGAATGGGTAGGCCATATTCTATACCCCCCCTCCCCTCTGCCGTGCGCGTGCGGAGAGAGCATCGTCTAGGCTGACCTCCCGCCTGGCAGACTTGTTCATCAATATCTGCCTGACGCTCCTCGGCTACATCCCTGGTCACATACATGCTTTCTACCTCCTCTACGTCTACTATGAACGTCGCGAGCAGGCCAACGAGGGCCGGTTCGCCGCCCGCCGCGCGCCCGGCGTCTACTCGGAGAACGTCCAGTCTGGTGGCGTCGGGTACGGAACCATGGCGCCGCCTGCTACCGCGCCGCCTCCCAACTATCGCTGAGGTGCGCGGCACGTTGCTCCTACCGAACGCCGCGATGCGCTCAAGGATGATGGGCCTGCATGAGACAGGCGGGTAGGGAATCTCTCCGGCAATAGATGGATAGGTCTTGGGAATTCTGGGAGCATCAGCCTTCTCGCCGCCGCTTCTACGTCGGCTGACCCTCGACGCAGTGGAATGCTGTTACCATGCGGGCTGGCGTTCGGTCAGCTATCCCCGTATGGTTTGATGGATATATGAAGGACGACTCTATGGGTGTTGTCCCTGTGTTCTTGTGTTTTTTTCTTTTTTCTTTTGCACGACAGTTCTGAGGTATTATACCACTGGCTTATTTGTTTGGATCTTGAATTTATCCATGGGAGCTACTAGTTACCGGTACTTGCACTACTCAGCACTACCAACGTGATTGCATCAGACTCATACGTGGAGGTTGTAACATCACGAGATGATGAAAGGTGACTTCCCTCAGCTGGCCAATAACAACAGAGCCTGGAGCTTTCAGGCCAGCAAGGGACATGTTCTCGAAGGGCTGCAGACTACAGACGGATAATGGCTGTGGTCGCAACAGGAATGGGGGAGAACCTGGAAAGAAACGTTCCTTGAATCACCGACACTTTTCTGCGTTTAGCCGAAGACATTGTGGAGCTGTAGATTGTGTATCTAGGATTGCCGTCTGGCTGTCTGGCTGGTGGCGATGCAGGCATCGAGGCATTGTCAGATGGGTTATATCCGCCACACTCTCTTTTCTTTCCTCTTTTTTTTTTCTCTTTTTTTTTAAAAAAAAAGGCGTAATGACGACAATGATCCAAGACAGAGTGCATCCGTCCTATTTAGTGACTAGCCACTCGCATACTCTGTATTTCAACGCTGCTATTACTACGCACTTGATACTCGCTGTTCAAGAAAATACTCAATCGATACTCTCCCATCATGGACTACGAGTGCTCGTCTATCTCATGATGCCAAACTTATGCGCCCGGATGAGTGACGTACCAGTTGGGCGGGGGGGGGGGGCGGCGGACTGGTGCGTCTCCTCGGTCTTCTCTCCTCCTTTTAAAGGAAGCCACGACACACTGCATCGCACTTGCCTCGCACTTACGAAGTACTCGCAGTACTCGTACTTTTTTTTGCCTTTCACACTCTCTCACTCACACTTCCACACACACACACACACACACAAATACGCGCCCACAAAGAACAGCAGGGAAGGAAAGCGCATCCCTCCGCCCTCCTTCCTTCATCCCCTGCTTTTCGCCTTCTAAGCTTTTCCTCATTTTGACATGCGCCTCATCCTCACATTTCCCTCGCATCGACAACAAATCCCCTCCTCTCCTTCTTCCTTGTCTGCCAAGAGTCGAGTTGACATGCTTCATCCCCATTGGAACAAACCGACATATTCCTACACGCCAATTCACCACTAGCAGCCCCTCAATCGACCTCGAACCGTGCCGATTTCATCCAGTCACTGTTTCTCGTCAATGATTATCACCACCTAAAATCACCTCTACGCGCATTGCACCTACTGCACGCACTCCAGAGTACCAACCACTCCCGTGTCCTTCCGTCTCCGTCACAGCTGCGGGGTTGGCCAGCTTTCCAACACATCTTGTCCATTCGTCACCCATCCCAACGAATCGTGGGGCTGCCATCCGTCTCACTCTCGGACCCCGGGGTTTTCATACTCGTGCTTCTTTTCACTTTCGCTTTGAGTACCGCATTACGGGGTGATAGCTCCCTTCATGCTGCAACGCATTGCTTATACTCTGCATGCCATCTACAGAATAATATCCGTCCTTTGAGAAGCCATCCCCTCGTCCCTCCACGTCGACCTTGCATCTCGACTGCATATCAACCCTCGAAGCGCATTTGGTGCCGGTATCGGCCCCGTCGTCCGTCCGCGACGTTGTCTACAATTCACCTCACCACCAACAGCCAATCCCTTTGGCCTCATCCTGTCCTTCTCGCCTCTTTCCTAGTTCTGCTGCCGGCAGCAGACAGGGTACCATCTCCTTGCACGCCTCTCTGCACGCTTCTCTGCACGCTTCTCTGCACGCTCCTCCCTCTTCGCCAACGCAAAGCGTCCAATACGCACACATAGTAGTCTCCTGCAACGACAGCTCATACATATCGTTCATCCACCCCTCCCCGGCGAGCACGTTTATAAAAACGCTCCACCTTGTGAGACCCTCCCCCCCCCCCCGCGTCTCTCTTGCTTGTCTCGCCATGTCATCTCCCTCCACGCTGCCATACCCTCCTCCTCCTCCTCCTCCTCCCTCCGGCTCTCGAACAGCCCAGTCCGTGTCTCGGCAGCATCGCCGCTCAACCTCCGACACGTCTTTGACCCCGACTCGCCCCACCTCGGTCCCGCGTTCTACCAACTTTCCCTTCTCATTCATCCGGCCCTTTCAACCAAACCTCTCCTCCACGAGCCTTGTTCCTTCCACCGCCGAGGGCAAGCCCATCCCTGTTGACGATTCCACCGTCGAGAACCGCACCTCGGCCCTCCGAGAGCTCAACAATAACTATCCCAGCCGCCACAGGTACGAGAGGTCTACCGGCGCCGAGAACACCACCTATTCGGAGCCCGTCATTGTCCACAGCTACTACTCGCCGCTGCCCTCCCGACCCATCAGCACGACGCACGGCGGTGTCCTCGTTACCGGTGGCGCCGGTACCGTGTCCCAGAGTGGGAGCTCGGCCACGGCGGAGCGACGCTTGCTGCCATTTTCCGCCACTGTCACGACGGCCAGGAATGGCATGCTGAGTCGGATGAGTCGTAGGCGTGATAAGCGCTTCAGCGCTGCCGAGTCCGGGGGTGTCAAGCTGCCCCCGGTCGAGGCCTTCACCTTCAAGAGCTTCCTTGACAACATGGAGACACAGGAAGACGGTGGTAGCAGCATCAATGCCGACCTGGACCGCATTGCCGAGATATGTGCCAAGTCGAGGTACTCCTTGAGCAACCAGTACGAGGTCCACTACACACCCCATGGCTCTGGCTCCTCCTTCTTAGGCGTCAACCGCGGCGGCGGCCAGGATCCAGCCGGCCCGACGCTGCAGGCCGTGTCGTCAGATGACGAGAGGAGCATGAAGCACCAGAGGAGGCAGCAGCAACGCAGAGGCGTCAGGCGCAACAGCAGAGCCATGGGCACCCTCGAGACCATCATGTCGTCCAGCCGGTCGTCGGACGAGGAAGGGTCCAAGAAGAGGTCAGCCGCCGACTTGGCCGACGAGGTCCGTGGCCGAGCCACGACCAAAGGCTCGGGAAGCACATCCCCGGCGAGGTCTTCGAAAAGCACCGCCGCAGACAACCAGCAGCAGGACGATGGGAACGATGGTGCGTCGGTACACTCTCACCCTCTCAGGAGACGATCTACCTCGCTCGCCCTCATAGACAATACCAAGCAGGGTAGCAGTTCTCAACAACAACAACAACAACAAGGAGGTAGTACCTCGGGAAAACCGCCACGCAACTCGGGCACGACCATGCTCGTCGGCCAGCCTGTCCAGCCTCAAGCATCGACCAGTCACCTCGAGATCCGCACCACACCGCCCAAGAAGCGAACAAAGGAGACGCAGGGTGATGACGGCCAGCAGGACGGCGCACCGACTCTTCCGACGAACCGTCAGACCCTAGTCATCAGGAGCTCGGGAACTTTTCCACTCGCGGAAGCTGCCACCCCTAGAGATGGCCTACTGACTGCCCTGACCGGCTGGATCCCGTGGACGACAGCGTCGTCTGATACGCCGGTCAACGCGTCGCCCGGTCGTGCAGAGGGCAGTCTGCGTGAGCTACTACGCACTTCGGACAGGAGTAAATCTGATGTTGGGGGTGCACTTCTCTAATAATGACTTATGACCATGACATCTTTTTTCCTTCTCCTTTTTTGCAAGGAGATCTCTACAAGGAGGCTTAGGGATAGGAACCAAGGGGGAGAAAAAAGCGAACAAAACACGGTGCGATTTGGGAATGAATGTGTGTAAGACTTGGATACCAGGATTATTCTTCTCTCTTTTTGACTTTCAATGGCCGTACAGGATGGTTGATATGCTCTGTCATTGCTTTACTCGTCTTTCTGCCTATACATTCTTTTTCTGATAATTTTTTGACTGAAGTGATATTGAAATGCGTGGGTGTTCAGAAATTGACTAAGCACATTTGCATTGCATCTCTCTCTTCATATACGACGTGTAAATTTGATTCTTTTTTTTTTTTTGGAAAAAAAAAGAAGAGAAAGAAAAAGAATTCCCACGCATACCTTGTCTTCCCCCCCCCCCCCAAATTTTCATACAGGTACATCTGCACCATCATCCTCAACATGCAACTTCTTAACAGGCTGTGATCTGTTCTTCTGCTGTGAAGAGCCATTCTCATCTCCATCTCCCTCCGCTGACCTCTTTTTGGTATTAGTATTGGTAATGGTGGTGGTTGTAGTAGTGTTGTTGCTGTTGTTGTTGTTGCTGTTGTTGTTGCTGTTGCTGTTGCTGTTGTTGTTGCTGTTGTTGCTGTTGCTGTTGTCGTTGTTGCTGTTAACGGTATGGTTGTGATTGTTATTATCACGAGCCGACGAGGCCTTGCGTGCTTCGAATTCTCGTCGTTCATTCTCCTTACGGAGGGCTTTTGATTCGAATTCGTGCCAGTCGCCGCCTAGACCTGTGAGTCTACGAACATGTTAGTATGTCAATGTCAATAAAGCAGAAGAGAGGGGAAATGATAGTAAAGAGGAGTAGAGGGGGGGGGGGGGGGGGGTGAAAGGATAAGGGGTTTTTTTATAAAAAAAAACATGAAACAGAGGATGGCATGAGAGGAGGGTTTGTATATATATATATATATATATATATATATAAAGAAGAGAAGAAAAAAAAACATACTCGATTGCTTGCTTGGGAAGAGGCTCCTCATCGACAAAGTAAGCATGACTCAAGACTTGGGCGGCAGTAGGCCTCTTTGCGGGGTCGTAGTGAAGCATTTTCAGGACGAGGTCGAACGCCGCGGGGGACAGCCTGGCCTTGTACTTCTCGGCAAACATGCTACGTCGCTTGACGGTCGGCTTGAGAAGCTCGAACCACGCCATGTCCACGAGTCCGGGCCAGTCGGCCAGGGTGGGCGTGCCCATCATGGCGTATATCTTGTCCAGCTGGCTGAGCTCGGTGCCGTCGCCGGGAAAGATGGCGGACCGGCAGAAGATCTCGACCATGACGCAGGCCGCGCTCCAGACGTCCACGGCCGCCGTGTAGCGCGTCTCGCCCAGCAGAAGCTCGGGCGACCGGTACCAGATGGTGATGACGCGGTTGGTGTAGTCGAGGTTGTGGTGCTTGGCGTAGAAACGGGCGAGGCCGAAGTCGGCCAGCTTCAGGACGCCGGTCGAGCTCACGAGCACGTTGGCCGCCTTGATGTCGCGGTGCAGCACGCCGCGCGTGTGCAGGTAGTCTAGCCCCTCAAGGAGCTGGCTCGCCAGGTGCTTCTTCTGCGACTCGTCCAGCTTGAAGGTCGGGTGGTTGAGCAGGCCCGTCAGGTCGTGTGACAGGTACTCGAACACCATGAAACAGTCGTTGCGCTCCACCATGACCTCCTGCAGGTTGACAATGTTGGCGTGCCGCAGCGACTGGAGGAGCTTGATTTCGCGCACCGCCGTCACCGGGAAGCCATCCCGCTCGCCTTCCATGCGGATGCGCTTTAGCGCCACGAGGTCTTTGGTGTACACGTTGAGGCCCTTGAAGACTTTGCCGTACGTGCCCGACCCGACGACGGACTCGTTGCCCGGCTTGCGGAAGAAGACCGAGTCCGACGCGGCGTGCTCGGGCGCTAGTGTTGGCCGCGGCTTGGGTCGACGGATCATCTTCTTCACCTTGCGCGTCCGGGGCACCGCTCTCGGTCCCTCGGGCGGCGCCTTGCTAGGCTCGTACCGAGCACGCGCCGATGCTGGCTCTGTAGGCGCAGACGGCGGCGGCGCCCGGCCGGACTGGCTCCTGTCCAGTGACACCTTCCTAGGTGCCACCGCGTTGAGCTTCTGCGATATCTCCGGCTTCGGCGCAGCTGCTGTGGCGGGCTTTGACGGTTTGAAGGCGAAGCTGAACTTGCCCGATCCCGAAGCGGGCGGTCGCCCCTGAGCGCCGTCCTGGTCCTGTTGCTTGGGCGGTGGCGGGACGTCGGCCTGGTCGTCCGATGGAGGTCTGTCCATGTCGACGTCGTCCGGACTCGGTCTGCCATCGCCGTTGGCGGCAGGAGGTGCCTCGTCAAAGGGGCGGCGGTCTCGCCCAGAATCCGAAGGCACATCCCAGTGTCCTCCTGAGTCGGCATCGGGTCCTCTCTGCCGGCCGCCGCTGCTGAAAGAAGACGTCCTGAAACCGCGGCCCCGAGATGATCCACGGTGGGGACCCTGGGGAGGTGAGCGTGGCCGTTCAGGGGGATAGGGCCCGGAAAACCCAGCAGGTGGCCCATAACTGCCGGAGCCCTGGGTATATGGTGGAGGATATTGGCTGCGAGAGTCAGAGTGGGAAATGTCCGTGGAGAAGAGGGGGGGGGAGACATACTGTGAGGGAGAAAAATTGCTGCCCCAGCCCGAGCGGCCGCCGCCACCTCCTCCATACGGCGAATGACCTGGTGAGTCACGATACGGGTGTGGGGGCTGCGGTGATTGAGAATAGCCTCGAGGGTCGTTGTGATACTGGGGCCTTTGCTGCGAGTATGCCGGCTGGTAGCCAGCTACGGGTACATCCCGGTAGCCTCCGCGGGATGCCATCTCGTCATCGACATCGGACCGCGTAGAGCTCCAGTGCTCGGGCGTCTCCTGGTGGCGACGGCGGCGTTGGTCTCGGTGAGCTCTGGGCGAGCGAGGGGCATCGTTTGAGCTCGGCCGACGACCAAGGCCGGATGCAGAGGGATTTCTCAATGCAGGGGCCGGGCCGTGTCTATCGCGGGAGTCTGGGCGTCGAGCCCTGGATTCGTGCCGACCGCTCGGGACTGGCGAGCGGCTATGGGGGCCACGCGGGGCGTCCGACATGGAGTACTGTGAGTCGCGACGGAAGCGACAAGATCCGGTGTCCATGGGGGATTCGGGTCCGGAGTAGCGCCTTTGACGCGGTGAGCGCTCTTCGTCGTCGTCGCCGTCCCGTCGCCTCGGGGACGCGTGAACTCGGGTCGGGCTTCTCCGACGACGGTGCGGGGAGTGTCGGCGACGGTGCCTCGACGATGCCGACTCGTCGTAGTCGCGAGCACGGTGTGAAGAGCTACTGTGCCTCTTGGATTTCTTCCGATGGCGATGGCCCGGGGAGCGGCTGCGGCTGCGATGCCTCTTGGACGGTGAGTGTGGCGAGTCTCGACGGCCTCGACTCCGACTGCGTCGACGAGCCTTATCCCCAGGCTCGGGCGGAGCCAGGTGCTGCTGATCACGATACCTCTGAATCAAATCACCGGTCCCTTCTCTGCGTCGTGAAGTTCTGTCGTCGGGCGAACGGTCTCGGTCGTAGTCTCGTCCTCGGCGCCTGTCCGAATGGGCGTGTCGGGGGGGATCTGGTCTCGTGGATTGACGATGGTGACGCGACTCGCTGCTCCCTGGGGAGGGACGGTGTCCACGCAGAGGAGATGTTTCACGGCCTGAGGACTTCATGCCGTGGCCAGAGCGATCCTCTTGCAGTTGTGGTTCGTAAATTCCGCGCTCGTCTTTCATGACAGCATAATGAGAGCGATGTGGACGAGGCTCTCTAGTAGGCTGGCTGACTGGCTGGCTGACTGGCTGGCTG